ACTTGGGAGGAGAGGCAATCGGATTCCTGAGTTCAAGGCCAGCCTGGTCTACAGAGTGAGTTCCAGGACAGCCAGGGCTACACAGAAACCCTGTCTCGAAAAAACAAAAAGAAAGAAAGAAAGAAAGAAAGAAAGAAAGAAAGAAAGAAAGAAAGAAAGAAAGAAAGAAGGAAAGAAAGAAAGAAAGGAAGGAAGGAAGGAAGGAAGGAAGGAAGGAAGGAAGGAAGGAAGGAAAACCTAAACCATAATACCCGCCCACCTAGCATTTCTTTGCTTTGCTTACAGGGAAATGAAACAGCCTCAACTCATCCAGTGATTCAGCCACATTTGTATTTGTGTGACGGGAAGAGAGGCTTGAAGTGTGGCTCCAGGTTAGTGAGATCTGACACCCTTTTCTGACCTCTGCAGGCACCAGGCATGCAACTGGTCCACAGACAACATAGAGGCAAGGACATATCCGTACACATAAAATAAAAAGATGAATTAAGAGGTGGTGGCACACGCCTTTAATCCCAGTACTGGGAGGCAGAGGCAGGAGGATCTCTGAGTTAGAGCCCAGCCTGGTCCACAGAGTGAGCTCCAGGACAGCCAGGGCCACACAGAGACACCCTGTCTTGGAAACCAAAGCAGCGGCAGCAGTCTTCAGAGCACCCCTTTAAAGCTAAGGAGACGTGCAGCTGACAGGGCAGAGATACAGACAGACAGACAGACAGACAGACAGACTCCATGGCCAACAAAGTGCTGGCTGTTAACATCACAAGAGGAAAGCATTCCAACAGAGATTATGAGAATCTCACAGTTGAATTCAAAGGTAGGCGAGTCTGAATGACACTCAGAGAACACCGGTTCCACTGGGAACTGTGGCTCAGCCGTGGTGACACTGCAGGCTCGGAAGACAGCTTCTTAGACAAGAGGACACAGAACAGACTGGGAAGAAACAGGGTAGCTAAGAGCCAGCTGAACGGTGTGCTGTCTGCCTTTTAGCTTTTGAGGATGAGACGTTGTTGTTGTTGTTGCTGTTGTTGTTGTTAAGTCATAGCTTGAGGATGTTGTTGTTATTATTATTATCATCACATTTAGTGTATGTGTGCATGTGTGTACATCTATACAATGCCACGACTAGACTGTGGGGTGGGTGTGAGTTGGTTCTCTCCTTCCACTCTGTGGGTCACAGGATTTGAACTCTGTGAGACTTGGCACCTCTACCCACTAAGCCGGCTCAGTGTCTCTGCATTTTATGAACTGGGATCAGGGCTCCACCGGGGTTGCGCCGAGGGAGTGGCCGCTAAAGGAAAACCTAAATCATGCGAGGACATGCAGCTGGGGGGGGGGCCCTGGATCCGGAACCATGGGAGGACATGCGGGGGTGGGGGGCTGGATTTCAGAGCCTGGAGGAACACACGCCACAGGTGTGAGCAGGAATGCGTGGGAAGACAGTTCTTACCCATTAGTCACATCTTTGAGGACAGACACATCCGCTTTTTTGTTCCAAACTGTCTAGTCAGTAAACCACCTAGGAGGATAAAGATGGCGCCTTCCTCTGGAGCAGGGGCACATTTTGTCCTGTTGAGGGTAATAAGGTTCTCTCTGTCCATGCATGTGTGCTTGCAGCTGGGCCGTCAGTCAATAATCATGCTTCCCGCTGTACAGAGAGTTCTTTGGCTGTGCTGCAGGCTCCTTTACCTCTCTGCCTCATCCCTGTGGGCTTGCAGGATAAGAAAAGACTCAGCATGATGAGGCCAAGGTCACTTACTTTGTCAAAATGACACTCTCATCCAGGAGTCTTGAACCTGTGTCTGACTAACCTTGTCACCTGATCAGAGGGAAACATCTCAGAGCCTTTGCCCTTCCAACCGTAGTGAGGGACATGCAAGCTGAAACAGGTTTATGCTTTTGGTTTTGAGACAGAGTCTAACTATGTAACCCTGGCTGTCCTATGTAGACCAGACCGGCCCCCAGCTCTCAGAGATCTGCGTGTCTCCTTCTTCCAGCCCTGAGATTAAAGGTGTGTGTCTTTATTTGCTTGGTTTTTGACACAGGGCGTCTTGGTGTCATGCCTTTGCTATTATAAAGTACCCTGACGAAAGTAAGGTCAAGGGAAAAGCTGTCTGTTTACCTTGCTTCCAGTCCAGGTTGTGGTACCAGACTTCAGGGAAGCCAGGGAACTTGAAGCAGCTAGTCTGAGAGATGAGCTCATGCAGGCCAAATCAAGGTCAGGCTGGGCTACATAGCAAATATCAGGCAAGCCAGGGCTACATGGGGAGCCCTTGCCTCAAAAAAGAAAGAAAAGAAAAAGCCGACCTGGACCTAGGCAAGGTCCCCTCTAGACTCATTCCATGTGTCACCTTGACAGTTAACCATAACCATCAGATGGAGTCTCACGCATCTCAGGCTGGCCGTGAACTCTCTAAGTAGGCAAGGATAGCATTGAACTTCTAATCCTCTTGCCTCTTCCTGCCTAGAGTATAGACGTATGCTACCATAACTGATTTTTGTGGTGCTGGGGACTGACATAGAGCTTCAGGAACGCTAGACACACAGCATGCTACCAGCTGAGCTAAGTCCCCCGCCCAGATGCTCACTCCTGTGGATCTTCCTTTCTCAAAAGAACGGCAGAGACAAGAGAGGACTTGATGTGATGTTCCAGAGTCTCTGGAAAGCAGAGGAGGAGCTGAAGCCAACCAAGGCTTGGACAATGGCTGGCGAGAAGTGAGCTGAGCTGGGTTTCTGGTGGTTCCGTTCTGCTCTGGAATGAGTGGGCACGTGGGGGCAGGGAGCACTGGAGCACAGATCCAAGCATGAATCTGTGTTGGAGTTTGGTTGGGCGGAAAGCCAAGCCCACAAGTGGATTTCTGCTGCTGCTGAGACAGCAGCACAGATTATGACCCAGGGAAAGAAACCTCCTGAAACACTTGAGGTGCTGGGAGAGACTGGGTGGGAGGAGTGAGGACTGTGGAGGATGGCAGGATGCTTTGGTCCAGGAAGTGTTGCCATGGGACACTGAAAAAAAAAAAAACATAGACCTACATCATTAACATGGATGGGGGTCAACTCCCATGGGGAGGAAAGAGAGCATCCCCCAGGGAGGCAGGAACTGTACTGGGTTAAGAAACAGCAGTTTTGACAAAGGAAAAGCACAGAGACTGAAAGGGAAAACTTGAAATCGGGGGTCATCAAAGTGGCTCAGCAGATAAAAGTGCTTGCCTCGAAGCTTAAGGTCCCGAGTTTGATTCCTGGGACAATCATGGTAGAAGTAGAGACCGGATCTTCCACAAATCACCCTCTGGCCTCCATACTTGTGCTTGTAACACCAGCATACATACAAATACATAAAACTTGAAACCACAATTTTTTTTTATATTCTTTGTAAAAAATTATTTTTTTACGTAAATTTTTTTTTTTTTTTTTGGTTTTTCGAGACAGGGTTTCTCTGTGTAGTCCTGGCTCCCCTGGAACTCACTCTGTAGACCAGTCTAGCCTCAAACTCAGAAATCCACCTGCCTCTGCCTCCCAAGTGCTGGGATTAAAGACGTGCGCCACCACCGCCCGACAAGTAAAATTTTTTTTAAGATTTAGTTTTATTCTATGTATATGAGTACACTGTAGCTGTCTTCAGACACACCAGAAGAGGGCATCGGATCCCATTACAGATGGTTGTGAGTCACCATATGGCTGCTGGGAATTGAACTCAGGACCTCTGGAAGAGTAGTCAGTGCTCTTAACCATTGAGCCATCTCTCTAGCCCCTGTTTTTTTTTTTTTTTTTTTTAAAAATGTTTAAGATTTCTTTTTGAAACCACAAATTCTTAGCTGTGGCCGTTAGCAATCACCACGGCACTCTCACAAAGGACAGGATTGACTTGACTGGCTACACTCCAGAGACTCCGCCCTGGTCCACACAAGACTAGGTAGAAGACTGTGAAGAAGACTCTTCACCACAGTCCCAGAGCCTAGGAAGCCTGACACTGGGGAGATACCAATTCATGGACTCCATTTTTCTCAGCTATCAGACCAGATTAAAGCTTGGGGAGTCAAAGGTCACCCTCCCAGACTCTTGGCTCTGGGGCCTAAGAACACACCACCTCACAGATGGTTCACAGACAGAAAGGGCTTTGCTTCCAAAGGACAGGCCAGCCTCCCCAGCCCCAGGCAATGAAGGCCTGCTCCATCTCTCGCACTCGGCCTCTCTCAGCCTCTCAGGCCAGGTCTGAGCAGTGCATGGAGAGGGCTGGCCTTTCTGCATGTTGCCAAACAGAGCAGTAACAACCATCACACGGGCTCCCTACATGACGTCCTCCATCTCAATGGACAGTCACCAAATAAAGAGATGACAACCTAAGCCCCTCAGTGCACGGCCGGCAGGCTCCCTACCTGAACCCTCCACCTCTAACCCCAAATCTAAGCTAAGGGGTTTCCTTCCATCATTTGAATATACTCTTCCGCGAGTACACAAGGACACAAGGTACGAGGAGCGAGGGAGCCGGCCAGATTGCTTCACAGCTGCCAGCCACCTGCTTCTGGTCCAGAAACCTGGGGTGGGCGTCCCTAAGCGCACAGTTCTCAGTCAGGGCAGCAGGTAGCCTTGCCTCTCCGTGCCCGTCCCACCCTTCACTGCACATGCTAGCCCTGGACGGTGAGAACCGAACATCCCTGGCCAACTCTAAAATAGGTACGTCCGGGGTGTGGCTCTCCTCGGAGAGCAGCCTCCCGGGTGACGGCCATCGAAGTCCCTCGGGGGCAGCCCTGGAACAGCGCTCTCAGTTCCAGCCACCAGCAGCTGAACGAAGGCTTTTCGCGGGGCGGCCCTAGTGACGTTCAGTCTCTGGAGTTGCCGCGACCTCAGGCCTGGCGAGGACACAGGGGGGAGCTGCAGGACTCAGAGGCGCGCGGCGTCCCGCAGTGGGCAGGGCGGGGCAGAGCAGGGCGGCCGCCTCCGCGTGTCCCATAGGGACCGTCCTCTCCGCCCGGGGGGCCAGTGCGCAGGGCGGCAGACGGGGCGCACCCCGGCCGGACTCGCATGGACCTCCCGCGCCGCTGGCTCTTTCGGATGTTGCTGCTCGTCGCCACCAGCTCTGGGATCCTGCTCATGCTGTACTCCTCAACGGGGCTGCTGTCCCCGGAGACCCAGGTTCCCGCCAGGTAAGCGCTGCCGGTCGCTGCGCCCAGGGCGCGGGGAGGGCGCGCGCTCCCAGTTCTTCGGACGCCCGCAGACACTCCGGAGCGACTCTGCAGCGGCGACACGCCTTTTGCAGCCTTAATCTCATGCTGCCTCTCGGACACTGGGCCTTTGCCCGGCCCGGAGCACGCTGGCGACCCTGGCGTGCTCGGTGAATTTCGTCCAGGCCTAATTGGGAAGCTCCCTGTTGCCACTTTCTTCCTGAATCCACTTTTGGGGGAGGGACTCAAGTCCCCTGTTTTCCAACTTTATTCTACTCTTCAGGTGGCCAGTCCCCTGCTCTGCTCGCTCCGGGCTGTGAGCTCAGGCCTACCTGCATCTGGCTCCCTTTATCTGGGTCTCTTATTTGTTTGAGTAGTTACTTTGATAAGCTCCATCTGGGCATGGCCCTAAAGAAAGGCTAGCTCCATCTGGAACACCACAGAACTTGTTCTGAGCCTTCCACCTGGCTTACTGAAGGAGCCTTGGGACGGTTTAGCTTTATTTCGGGGATGTAAACCAAGCCATACCTAGAATCTGGGCTTGGGGGGTGGGGGCGGAAAAACAGACAGAGCAGCATGCAGAGAGACCTCAGCAACCTGCCTGTTTGCACACTCCTGAGCACAGCTTGCTGAGATGAAAACAAAGTGGGTATCTAGTGTCTGGCTGAAGGACACACATCAGTTGCTGGCAGCGCTGGGGCTGGTAACATCCTGTGAAGGGCCTAACATGACTTCACGCGGGAGGTTGGTTACAGCTGGATTACACCTCAACAGAGCTTTTTCTTTTTAAAAAGTATCTCTTTTATTTCTTTTATTTTTGAGATTATAGGTATTCGGTACTCCCTTCCCTTTTCCTACCTCAAAAGTCTCCTGTATACTAATCCTTGGTGTTTCGAATTGCTGGCCCCTTTTTTTTCACTAATTGTTGTTACATGCATATGCATGCCCATATATAATATATGCATATGTATACACAGACACATACAGACATATATATATACACATAGATATACACACACAGACATACACACACAGACATATATAATCCTAAATCCAGCCTGCTCAGTCTATACTGTTATTTGTACATAGACTTTCCGGGCTGACCACTTGGTACTGGATAACCAGTGGGCGTGCCCTTTCCTGTGGAAGACTGTCTCTCCCATTCGTTCTCAGCGTTCCGAGGTTGACTGTAGTTCTTTGTGAAGGGGTGAAAGGCCCGAGGTCCCTCCCCAGTTCACTCTGGCAAAACTTTTTTTCTTCTCAAGAGATCTTTCTTCCTTTCAAAATCTGATTTGGGGGCTGGGGATGTAGTTCGGTTGGTAATGTGTTTGCCTTCCCAGTCCCCAGTACTAAAGCTAAGATGACAACAACAACAAAACCCTGCCATCTACTATGAACCAGAAGCCCCTTCTTTTCCTTGTTTCTGTAGGTGTTTGCGACAGTAAACCTGGATATGGGGGAGAAAGGGACAGGTTAGGGCTCAGCCAGTCTGTAGGAGGAGGGTAGGTAGTCCAGCAAGGTAGGTGGTTTTCCGAGTGTGGCTGGAAGCTGCAACATCCTTCCTGTGAGCAGGGCTATGTGACAGTCAGGGGAGAGGCTGGGCCTGCAGTGTCTAACGGGGCTCTTCTACTCACAAGACTCTGGTTCCAGAGAATTCTCCCGTCTGGGAACTTTTCAAAATTTTTTGTAGCCAATGTTTTAAAATTAAATTTGTTCTTTGAAATTTTCATATGTCGCCAGGGCAGTGGTGACACATGCCTTTAATCACAGCGCTCAAATGGCAGAGGCAGGCAGATCTCTGAGTTCCAGGCCAGCCTGGTCTACAGAGTGAGTTCTAGGACAGCCAGGGCTACACAGAGAAACCCTGTCTCGAAACCCCCCCCAAAAAAAAAATAACTAAATAAATAAAAAATAAAAACAACAACAAAAAAACACAAGGGATTAAAAAAAGAAAAAAACAATTCCATTCTTGTATATAATATATTCAAATGACCCTCCCCCCTCCCACTCTGTGCTTCTTTCCCACCGGCCCACCAGCACCCCTTTATTCCCCACAAGAAAGCCCGTTTGCTTTTTGTGCTTCGTTTTGTGAACTCTTGAGTTTCTTCAGGGGTCTTCGCGAGCATGTGTGTGGAACTGTCCTTGGGAGCCCGCTGGACTCACTAGTGAGTACACAACTCAAGCAAGCTCAGGGCAGGCAGCAAGCCACAGCTGCTACGTTCGGTTCATGACTCCAGTGGTCATGTCCTGCCAGAAGACAGTATTTCACAGCACACCCCCTTCCCCACCATTGGGCTCTTACGTCCTTTCTGCCCAGGGTTCTGGAATGTTCCCTGTGACTCCGTAGCGTCCATCTACTTTCACGCAGATGAGTGAGCACGTTCACACACAGCACACACGGACACATGTTATGCTTACTTTTTAAATTAAGCTGAATATATTTGGGCTTACTTCGTTTCTTTGTTGTGAGACAATATGTCGCTTGTAAAACTCAAACTGGCTTGAGACTTGCTGCTACCTGAGGGTGGCCTTGAACTCATAATCCTCCTGCTTCTTCCTCTAGAGTGATAGAATTACAGCAGGTGCCACCACGCCTGACAAGAGCCTTTAGTTTTTATTAAACCGTGCGTTTTTGTGCTTATTTCTAAGGCTACAATGTCTTCACAGAGGGGCATGGGGGCCTACCTCCCTTTAAGGAGCCCTAGGTAGCAGGAAGAATTTGCATTCTTGAGAAAGGGTCATGAAGTCACCAAACCCAGGGAAGCTGGGAGACCTTGGGTGAGGAATGACAGGGTTCAAGAGAGTCCCCACTATCAATAACCCATGGCGGTCACTTTGTCCTAAGTCTGGCAGTTCCCTTTGGGGTCACGAGGTCTGCTGCCTGTCAGAGATACTTCAGGGTGGGGGTAGGGTAGAGAGGCAAGCTTGGACTCTATCGCAACCTCAGGACTGGCAGGGTGTGGATGTTTGCCATGCCCCAAGGAGCCCAGGCTGAACAGGGTCTCGGCTCCGTAGGGGAGGGAGGAGCGATAGGATTATCGGGTGGACATCTGGCTAGTGGAGGAGTGGGGGGAGGAGCAGAAGGGGGGAGGAGCGGGAAGGGATCATCCCATGTCCCTTCAAGGATCTTACTAGAAACCTGGGAAACTAAAGGAAAGCACAGATCACAAGCTCCGCACTGGCTCAGGAGTTACCTGAGACCTTTGTTTCCCAGGCAAAACTGCAGGTCCCGAGTCCTCCCGCAACCCCTGCCTCCCTGATGCTGCTGGGGCATGGGTAATAAAAGAGGGAAGCATCTGGCCGCCATCCACCGAACAGGCTTCCTCCACTCTCTCCCTCTGCCCTGAGGCATCATAGTGCCTAGGAATTGTGAGCGTCCTTCTCACATCCCTTTAGAAGAAACTGATAAGAGATACGAGATCCCTGCCTTTCTCCCTTACGGACAATGGCTGGCATTTAGAAGGCCTTTTCACTTTGAGTAATTTAGCTGTTCCCTTGGGCCCCTTCCAACAATCAGGTGATCCAAGCACTGTTGTACAGAGGCCAAAACCAAGATTCACATGCACCAGCTGCAGAGCTCTGGACATACTCCACAGGAGGAGTAAGACACCCCGTGGCCTCGGTCCTAGGGACTGTCCCCCAGGCTTCTGTTGTTGCTGTTTCTGTTTCTTCTGTGTCATTGGCTCAGCCTCAGGTCAAACCTAAGTAGTCGAGTGTGGCCTTGAACTCCTGATCCTTTTGCCTCGATCTCCTAAATACTGGGGTTAAGGACATGTGCTGCTACACTCACCCCTGGGGCTTTGGAAGGAGACCTCTCAGATACAATTCTAGGGACTGGTTATATTTCCTGTTTTACGTTTTCATATTTTAACCACCCCTATTCCTATAAACCCCACATGTCTGCCCCTTGCCGAGAGACTCGTTTCTTGGTTTCTGCAGCTGGCCAGAATGTAATTAAGGAATGGTATTTATACATCTAAAGAGGAAGTCGCGGTCCAGAGTAAAGATCAAAGAAATAAACATCTTGGGGATTCTGTCAGCCTCAGAGTTGAAGAAATCAGCCTAGAAGCTTCTAAGGTGCTGGTCGGACCCCCCACTTTACCTCTGCCTTTCCCCACCAGGAACATCACGTCATCTCGAGCATTCTTTGAACCCAAGTCACCGAATTTGGAAAACAGAAAAAAGGTACGGTGATCTGCCCCTCTGAGGCAGCTGAGCATGTTCTAGCTGGGAGTGGAAGAGAAGAGAAAAAAACAAACGAGACATTCTTGAGGCTTCTGGGTGTAATCTGTTTGTACTTCAACCCACATAGAGGTAAACAGCCATCTTCTCGAGGCATCTTAGATCTGCCCACTAGTGTTTCCTGTAACTCAGCAGAAAACAGCAGATAGATTAGTACCTCTGGGCTGTAGCCGGCTGGAAAGTTCTTGGGATTCTTAATTGTGTCCTTATTTTAACTCTGTGTGTGTGCGTGTGCGTGTGCATGTGTGTGTGCGTGTGTGTACATGTTAAGTACAGGTGTCACAGGGGATCCAGGCAGTGGAACCCACCAGAGCTGGAGTTACAGGCATTTGTGGGTGGGTGCTGGGAACTGAACTCAGGTCTTCTGCAAGAGCGGTAAGTGCTCTTCACCGCTGAGCCATTGCTTGAGCCCCTTTAAATTATCTCCCTTTTTTTAAATTAATTTTTCTGTTACTATTGTTAGTAGTGTGAATGGGCTTGCTGGTGTGTATGTGCATGCACCGTGTGTGTACAGATACCCAAAAAGCATAGGATCCCCTAGAACTGGGATTGTGGGCAGTTGGGTGTCACCAAGAGTGGACGCAGGGAACCGAACCCTGGTCCTCTGAAAAAGCAATACTCTCTTTTAAGCACCCGGCCCTCATTCCAGCCCCTTAAATTTGTATCTTTGTGTTGAATGGATTCTTTACTCTATTTCTCTAAAACCTACTTATGATAAATCACGGTTTGCTCACTCACTGAAGAATAAACACAAATATCTGGGAAATGCCCCACATTTGCTTCGAGGGTCTTAGGGACTCTGGCCCTAAGTAATAGCCAGGTACCTGATGTGCCACAGAGCACTTCTTTTTCAAGGTTCAGGTAAATCGTGCTGAGCTATTCTAGAGGTACAAACTGAGGCACAGAGAAGTTAGCTGCTTTACTCAGGGCCACTCAGCAGTAATCAGTGCCACCCAAATGGGAGCCCTGATCTAACCCCAGGACTGGCCGCATACTGGGTGATATACAACCTTCACTGCCACCCTCATACTGGTTGAACTGGAGGATGCTTATGTCTTTTATGGATTCATACAGGCATAAGCTGTTCCTGGTGCCTAGGAGACTAGGCTTGGATATGTTAAGTGAGGTTTGAGGGGCTCAGGGAGAAAAGATGCCCCTGCATTCAAGAGGTGAGTGATAGGCTATCACTCAGAGACAGCATGAGTGGATCTGGGCAGGTGATGAGGGAAAGCTGTGTTCGAAACAGGGCGTGGACACGAGGTTAGCGGCTGAAGAGGCTACAGTCATCTTGAGAGCTTAGGTCAGGCCATTTTTAAGTTTCCAGCAGGTTTTCTGCTTGGTGCTAACTGATGTACAGTCCCAGCTAGTTTAAAATAGGCATTGCTGTGGCTTTTGAACACATGAAGCAAGGCACTCTAAAATGGGGACAATCCCATCTCAATATATGAGGTACCTAGAGACCAAAGAAAGTCAGGCAGACAGACCTCGGGTTGCATAGAGGGTCTTTTATGGGGGGGGGGAGTATTGATGGAAGTGTAGTCCTGGGAAGCTGTAAACTGAGTTGTATTCCCACTGCGTGGAGCAGAAAGAGGGATTTACTTATGACTTAGAACAAGTGACTTCATCCAAGCTTGAATGTGCCTGTTTTATCTAAAGGAACTATTGGAGAGTCAAATGTGTCCATTTGTTGGTGAGGACCACGCAGGCTATCTAGATAAGCATACGGAGACACGCTGAACCAAACTGCACCACGCAGGACTATACAAAAACATCTGTCTACCTTACTGTGTCAGGGGCTCACTCACTGGAACCTGCTATTACATCTTCCCTTCTGATGCCAGACAACCCCTTTCTGCCATCCTACTGACCCTTCCTGAGATCTTACTCCCCAGACACCATTGCCCACAAACAAACCTCCAGTCTTTCCAAGGAAAGGTGTCACGGTTTAGGCCAAAGTCATGTATTCCTTGGCTTTGGATGACAAGTCTGACTTGCTCTGGTTTAATGCACCACTGACAACATTCTCTGCGTTACACCTCTCATCCTGTCTCCCCACACACCCTGTGGGTTGGATTGCACCCTCTTTGCATAGTGTGGGATGCTCATACGTTGCACGATAGCAGAAACCACTGTCCAAACATTTCCTGCCCTGTCCTTTGATCAGGGGCTTAACAAAGAAGCTTATTCAGAAGTAGCAGAGCCCAACCCCACCCCAACATCCAGGCTGAGACTCAGTATTATGAAGGCAGCTAAAAACCTTACTTTCCTGAAGTGCCCTGAGTGCAGAGGTGAGATCCTGTTTCCTGCGGCTCCCACAACTCAGGGCCCAGGCCAGGTGACTTAAAGCAACAGAGTTCGGGGGCTGAAAGCACATTCTGCTCTTGTCTAAAGTTTGGTCTCCATTACCTGTATATCAGAAAGCTCACTCCTAACCTAGAAACTCCAACTCCAAGGGGATCTGAGGCCTGTGGGTGTCTGTGGGGCAGCTGCTCTCACATGTGTAAACACATTAACAAAAAACAAAACAACATGAAACAAAACAAACAACCACCATTTAAAAACACACACACAGTAGAAATCAACTCTCCAGCAGTTCTGAAAGCCAGAGGGCCGATATCAGACCAGGGGACCATACTTCCCCTGAGGTTCTAAAAAACCACCCTGGCCTACTTCTGTCTTAGGCTTGGCTTGGTATCACTCCATCTCCACTGACATCCACTGCATGGCTTCCGTTTCTCACACAGCCTCGTTATCAGGAGGCTGGTTGGTAGATTAGGACTAGCCTAAGCCATTAGGCCTCATTCTGGTGACATTCACAGACACCTTATTTCCAAGCAACGTAGGTAGATGCCCTGGCTTTTCTGATGTTGTGACAAACTCCTGAGAAAACAACCTCAAAGGAAGAAAGGTTATGTTGGTCATGGTTTCATGGTCATTTGGATCTCTTGTTTCTAAAGGCAGAGCATCATGGGAGACAGCAGATAATAGAGTCATTTATATCACAGCAGCCAGTAAGCATGGTGAGAGGACATAAGGGGACCCTGAGACAAGATAGAAACCCCAAAACATGTAGTAACCAGCTTCCTCCAGTAAGGCCTCATTGCAGAAGTTTCCACCAGCTCCCAATGATGTCGTCAAATTTTTATTCTTAGTAGTAGTAGCATTGGTATTGATATTTTGATGGTCTCTCTATGTAGCCTTAGCTGTCCTGGAACTCCATATTTAAACCAAGCTGGCCTTGAACTCACAGAGATCCGCCTGCCTCCACTTTGGGAATGTTGGGATTAAAGATCTGCATCACCACGCTGGGCTGCCATCAAACTATTAACGCATTTGTGGGTTAACTGATAAAGGGCAGAGCTCTTGTGGTCCAAATGCTTCACGATGATTGGCTCCACCAGCTGGGGACCAAGTTACCTGAATGACACATCAGGTCCAAACATCACAGTGTCATTTTAAGGTTCTCAGTGGACACAAAGGCTGAGGGATTGACTATGAGCAGCCAAGGGAAGGCGGGCGGCTGTAATTCTTCCCAGCAGGAGATAGGAGTCTGATAGCCAGGCTTGAATCCACTGGTTGCAGAGAACCCAGAGTTTGCCCACATGGGCAAACTAAATCCATGAAATATGAAGCCAGATCCACTGATGCAAAGAAAGGCTGGCTGGCCAGGCTGAATCCAGAACGTTCCCTGGCCTATCAGGCTGCTGGACCACAGGCAATCTCAGCAGAAAGATTCAGGGATGGCCCCTTCTGGAAGAATAAGGGAAACTCATCCTCCTGAATTCTCCTGTGAGGTCTGTAGGCTCCCAGGGAGACCTATCTAATGGGCTTAGCCCTCTCTTCTCCTCCTTCCCAGAGCCGACTTTGCCAACATCCGCTGTCCCTGGCTGTTAAGAAGGATGACCACTTCCGGGGCCTGTTCAATCTCTCCACTCCAGTGTTGCTATGGGATGGCCTCTTCACTCAAGAGCTGTGGGAAAATCTGAGCCAGCACAAAGTCCCCTATGGATGGCAGGGACTCTCTCACAAAGGTAATGTGCTACCTATTGCCTCTCCCTTACCGTCTGCCTCAGCCAGCCCTTTCTTCCCACTGTTGATCCCACTGTAAACTACCCCTGGCTGCCTTCACAGTATCACTGGAAAGCCTTGTGGGCTCTTTTGTGCGTGACTCCTGCCTTTTCCTCTCCTCCTTCATCCAAGCAGCCAGGACTAAGCTGAGAAGATTCCTCTGCTCAGTCACCTTCACTCCCTTGGGGTCTCCCGAGCATGGAAAATGACCAGTGTTTAATGGTCGTCTGAATTCAGAGGTTTAAGAGCCTTCATGGTACCACTGTGGCCATTGACATAAACCACCACGGTCAGGCCCACCCCATGCCTTGAATCCTTTTCTTTTGAAGTGAACCCAGTCTTAGAGAACCAGTTATTCTAGGTATTCAGGCCACCTAAGCTCCCTGTATCCTTTTCTCCGTCCCCGCTACACACACTGCCCCCATTGTCCAGCATTTTCTGTGCATCCTAGGATGGTCTCCGTCTCATAGGTCCCAGGCCAGGCTGTCCAGGAAAAGCCTGGCAAGAGCCTGCTCCTCATGGCTCCCCCTTATCCTCACCCACAGTCATTGCCTCTACCTTGAAACTTCTGAAAAACCCGGAGAGTGCGGAGCTGTTTGGTGCCTCCAGAAAACTACCTCTAAACTGTATTCGCTGTGCCGTGGTGGGTAACGGAGGCATTCTGAATGGGTCCTGGCAGGGTCAGAAAATCGATGCCCATGACTATGTCTTCAGGTAATGACGACAGGGACCGGGGAGCTGGGGGGACAGCCCTTATTCTGCCAGTCCTGAGGAAACATCTGCCCTGAGACCAAGGCTAAGCCTAAGGCAGCTCATCAGCTAGGATGGTCAGTCTAGACCAGCAGTCCCAACCTATGGGTCGTGACCCCTTTGGGGGTGGTCAAAGGACCTTGTCACAGGGGTCACCTAAGACTATCGGAAAACACAGATATTAATATTATGATTCATAACAGTGACAAAATTACAGTCAGGAAGCAGCAACGAAAATTTTGTGGTTGTCGGTCACCTTTGTGTATTAAAGCATTGCCACATTAGGAAGGTTGAGAACCACTGGTCTAAACCAATTATCAGCCAACCCTGAAGACAGAACGCAGGTACCCAGCATAAAGGAACCTGGGAGGAAGGGTTGCAAGGGTTAGATTTACCCATTCAGAGAGCATCCCTTAAGGACCCAAGAAGTGAGGATCAGGCTAGACACCCCCAAACAGATATTCTCATGGGCAGGGGAGCGGTACAAACCGGAGGGATGGGGACTAGTGAGGTGGAGCCATGGAGAGGAAAATGAGCCAGACAGCATGGTGTTGCAACAAGATACTGATAGGCCTCTGCTGGGACCAGACTCAATGGCGCCATAACCGAAGGCTTTGAGCAAGACGTGGGCACTAAGACCTCCTTCTACGGTTTCACTGTGAACACCATGAAGAACTCACTCATCTCCTATGCCAACCTGGGCTTCACCTCTGTGCCACAAGGGCAGGTGAGGCTAGCAATGGTGGCTGACGGTGGTGGGCACTGTCTTCTTAGGAACCCCTGTGTGGGGAGGGCTTTGGGGTTCACAGACTCTGTCCAGTGGATGTATAGATAGTGTTTAGATCTTGGCCACCATCTGGGTGGCCGAAAGCCATTTATCTCTGTACTCCCAAGGCAGAGGCAGGCAGATCTCTGTGAGTCTGAGGCCATCCTAATCTACATAGTGAGTTCTGGGATGGCCAGGACTACATAGATAGACGCTGTCAATCAACCAATCAATCAATCAATATAAAAAAAAAAAAACAGAAAGATCTTGGCCACCTGAGGCAGACATTATAGCTAAAGGCACATCTGGTGGACATTTCCCTGTTCTTTCTGTTGGCTCAGGGCTGCCTCTCAGGCATGGAAGTCCCGGGAAGGGTTAATATTTACTGAATATAGACAGGCACCCTGTGAACCCACTTCACTAGGGAGGAGACTGAAGCCCAGTATCCTTCCATGAGGCAAGTCAGCAGACGGCCTAAGGATCAAACCTGGAGTGTCCACCCCAGTGTTCCTCATCTACGCACAGCTTGGGGGCATTTATTGGGTACCTCCTCTGTTCCAGGGTATAGAGTATAAAGGGTATAGAGTATTACAGGACAGGGAGCTAAGTATCACTGTTGCTCTGTGTGAAATCGCCATCTCTGCTTTCCGGTGGCAGAGTTGAGGGCAACTGAGAGGATGCCAGGCATGATGGTCTGAACCTTTAGTCACAGCACTTGGAAGGCAGGGACAGGCAGATCTGTGTGATTTTTGAGGCCAGCCTGATCTACAGTCAGGTCTTTACAATAAGACTGTTTTGAGGGGCAGGGAAGGGAGGTGCTCAGATGTTTGGGGATATGTCCAAAACATTGTTAGAATTACTACTCAGATCTAGGCTCTCAGTGGCCCCAGATTACCCACTGAAAGAGTGATGTGGGTTCTCTTGAACCCTCACCAGAGCTCAGAGCTCAGTAGGAAACTGAGGTACAGAGACTGAGTCTTGTACCTGGATCATAGCTAGTGCCCGAGCCAAAGAACTCTCTGCCCTGAATCTTCCCTCCACACTCACTGGCCATAATACCATGTTTTCTGCCTTTATCTCTCTGAGTGCTACATTCAGAGTGAGAGAGGTCTTGGGTTAAGGGATTCTATGGGCCTAGAAAAGGATGGACCATGTTTCTAGAAGCTTCTACCTCTGATCAGGACATTCAGAACTGTCCTTGGCATAGCATCCATACACTGAGTCCCTACTGCAGAAGCTATTAGTTCGTGAGGGAACAAAAACGTGGTCATGGTACCTCTGTGGGAGTCTGCCACCCTGCTTTATCGCCTCAAGTCAGTGTCAGGTATTTGGGAGTGACTCAGGGAGTGGTCTTCCCTCAGGTCCTCTCCAGCAGTGGGCTGCTTTCCTCAGAAAGCAGGAACTGAGCTAGGCAGAACATAACCAGGTCTTTTTCACCTGGGCTCTTCTGGAAATCCTTCAGAGTCTCATGACAGGACCATTACCTTTCCCCAGATTGAGCAATCCACAGGGAACAAGGAAACCATTAACTTCTTATGACACAGTCTTTAAGACCATGTGTATTTTGCCTGAGGATCCAAAGAGCTGGAGTCATCTGACATCCAGGAAGTGGGGAAGAGGACATGGCACCTTCTGTTCCTAACTCTGGACCGAGCCTGGGGAGCCAGTGTTCTTGGCTTCGGGGCAGAGCCCTGGGGAGGATGCCTACCTACCTACCTACCTACCAGGATCATGGATACTAGGTCCAGCCCTTAGTTTCCAGAGCTGTGTGATCAGTGTCTTGTGCCTTAGAAATTTGTCTGTGTGTATGTCTGTGTACCATGTACATACTTGATGTTCTCAGAGGCCAGAAGAGGGCATTGGACCCCCTGGGACTGGAGTTATGGATTGTTATCAACCACCGTATGGGTGCTGGGAGCCAAACCCAGGTTTCTGGAAGAGAAGCAAGTGCTCACAACCACGGAGCCAGCTCTCCAGCCCATCTGTATTCTACAGTCTGGCAGGAGGAACAGGGGGCAGAAGGACTGGTGTGCCTTAGCTATGTTGGGAGGTTTGAGACTAGCTTGAACAACACGAGTCCCTGTCTTAAAACAAACAAAAAACGCAAGAAAGCTTTTATACGTTAGTCACATGTCTAGCCAGTCCTCAAGGAAATGGCAATCATGTGTCACCTCTCAAAGGGAGGGACATTAAAGCTCTGTGAGCCTAGAATGAAACCACCCAAGAACCTCCCAGTAGGAATGCAGCCTGGTAAGGGAGTCTTCACACGCTTCAGTGGGGAGCTGAGGTGGAGGACTCTCTCTCTGAGGTTGACCGTGGCCTTGTCTGATGCCCCTACAGGACCTACGCTACATCTTCATCCCCTCAAGCATCCGTGATTACCTGATGCTGAGATCTGCCATTCTGGGTGTGCCTGTTCCAGAAGGTCCTGATAAAGGGGACAGGTGAGCAGCTGATGGGAGTGTGAGCCTATGACATGGGGGTGGGGGGACGCTTGAGGATTTCCCTTTCTTCTGAGGACCCATGAGCAGTGAGCTGATGGCTCTCTAGCCCCTGGCTGCGGTGTGAGATGTGGTATTTAGGGAAAACTCTTCAGAATTCAATACTCCCTAAATATTCAGCATAATTTAGTGGCGGGGATTGTAATCTGTCTGATAGTGGTACCGTCTTCTGGGAACCCCTGGGTGGAGTGGACCACGGGGCTCGTGGGACTCTCTCCAGTGAATGAAGAACTAATGCTTGGTCACCTTAAGTGTCACTAAAGGCAGATTTCTCAGGGTTCTCCAGACTTTCAGGTGGCTCAGGGCCCCTGTCAACCCTGCTGGATGCTAAGTAGTCTTTCCTTGAACAGACCTGGCCCCTCAACTGTAGGCTGCTGTCCCAGCTGTCCTACTGGAGGACAGACAGGCAACAGGGTAGCTGGCCTACTGAACACAAGAGCTGTGTGGGCCTAGTATTCATGTTACTGATCCTGGTAGGTAGGCATCCTGCCCAGGACCCAGGAACGCTGGCTCCCAGGCTCGGTCCAGAGAGCTGAAAACAGAGGATACCATGTCCTCTTCCCTAATTCCTGGATGTCACATGACTCCAACTCTTTGGATCCTCATCTGAGCCCTGGCCTGAGCACCTCTTAGTGTTTTGTGCCTTAGAAACCAAAGCCGTTGCTGTGGCCAGAAGACCAAACCCCTCTTATGGTTCTTGGGACATAACGACCCAGTCTCCCAAAGAGCAGCTTTGGAGGTGCTCTTAATGGGTGATATGACAGAACTCAGGCTAGCCCCTGCTGGGTGGGTGCCCCACCCCCACCCTGTGATTACCTAACAATCGCTCCCTGGCGTTGCTATAGGTCATAAGAACTGAGGATGGGTTCTGTGATGTACTGGGGATGCACTCTTGGGCACTGCTTCAGAGTCCCGGGTGGACATAAGCCTCCCTACCACCAATGAGCTCCCCCTCCCACACCCCTAATCCATCCCCAACCCAGTCCCCATCCCAGTCCCGATCTAACCACGCTGATAATCCAACCAATCAGCAGCCCCCCCCCAGCTCTGGAGGCTCAGCCCCTTCCCCTTCCACAACCCGGGGGGCTTCCTCCCGCCCAACCTCTCACAACCCTACCCCAGCTGCCTCTCAGCCTTCCTCCCGAGCTTCCTCCCAGTCTCCTAGTCCCCACGTCCAGCATGTGCCCCGAGGGTCTACTCAGGTCCCTACTCCTCCAGCCTCCAAATCTCCCTCCCAGACTGGACTAAAAGCCCTCTCTCGAAACCCTTCCCTGACGCCCTCGGTGACCGTCACCAGGTCTCCTTCCCATAGCCCTGCCACCTCGGCCTCCTACATCGGGCCCATCCGAGCCATCCCTTCCTACATCACCCCCTATGTGCCACGTTTCATGAAAGAGCCCCCCTACTTCCAGCCCCCTACAGCACCTCTCCCACAAAATCGGTGCTTCCCCTGCCCCTTCCCATGCCAGGCCCAACAAACCCGGCAGCAACCGCCACCACCTCCTGACTCGCTGTACTTCCCCCTCCTCCCACCTCCTCCTCATATCCCCCAGTTCCAGTGCTCCTATCCCACGCCCCCAGCCCTGTTCACACCCCCATCCTCCCTCTCCTACACTCCGCCGACGGAGGTCCTGCTGAAGGGGAAGCCACACGTGGTACCGTCGGTGCTGCCTGCCACCTTCTATACCCCATTCTCTCGCTTCTACTCCCAGCCCCGGCCCTACCGCTACCACAGGCGCTTAACACTACCCTCGCTCTCCCTTCAATACGATGGTTCTGGACGCTCTGTCCATTTCTATCGTGGAACCTAGGCCTCACACCTATTTCGGACCGGAAACCTCTGCCAGTAAATTCAAGCTCCTGCACCCAGACTTCATCGACTACCTGAAAGAGAGGTATGGGGGATGGGGATGGAAATGGAGATGGGGTGGGAGACAGGGAACCAACATCCCTTCTTTTCCCTTTCCACGCGGACCCCACACATCCAGAGTGCTTTCAGCTGGGCCTGCTTCACTATACTCTGAGACAAGACCCAGACTGATCACCATGTGCCCTAAATGCTTGTGGGTTCATATACTAACTTATTTACTACCTCGGTGGAGGTGGTAACAGGGTTCAGCACAAAATAAACACAAGCTTCACAAAGCCAGGAGCACATTGGTTGCTGGGTGTTAAAAGTCTACTGCCATCACTTCTGGCTCCAAACTCCACCTCACCAAAAGCCACTGATGGAAGAACCAAGGGGAAGAGACGCTGACCTCACTTCTCTCCCTCTCTTGGCTTCCATGCCTCTCTCGTTAGTGGTTCCCAACACTGAGGGGGTATAGGGTGAGTGATTTGGTTCTGTCAGGACATATTTTGGTTGTCATGGACGACATGGCGTTAGTAGGTAGAAGCCAAGGTTCTGACAAAGTCCTTCAGTGCACAGGTCCAGCAGTGATGCCTGATGCTAGCCATCCCACAGTAGAGAAACCCACCCTATGTCACAAAGGCCAATGTCTCAAAAGAAAGTGGTTCAAGCAGTAGATGGAGGGAGGCCAGCAGAAGCTCAGGGAGCTTGAATGACAAACCCAGGTTGAGGTCAGGATCTGCAGACACCATCACACCGGTGTGCCCAGGATCTAGGGGAGCTCCCTGATCATCCGTGGCTCCTACTGGCCATGGTGGGGAGAGAAGCTTCAGTCTCAGGTTAATAGTGTTAATAGAATAGTGTCCAAGCATTGGAGATACCACGGTAAAAGACAGTATTGGTGTAGGGCAGTAGCTCGCCCAAATGCTCACACTTCGTCAGTCCCCTTGCATTTTCCCTAAAGAGAATTGGTTGGAGTAGAAAGGCCAGTTCCTGAACTATTCCTGCCTGTTTGAGTGGATGGCACAGTTTAAAGTCACAACCGTCAACTAGGCACTAGACACTTGAATGTTTCTCGGGTCTTTAATCTTTGTGGGGAGGACTGGGTGTGGTGGAGCACTTCCTTAATCCCAGCACTGGGGAGGCAGACACAGTGGATCTCTGAGTTCGAGGCCAGCCTAGTCTACAAAGCGAGTTCAAGGCCAGCCAACAGACAAACCGTATCTGGGGGGGGGGGGGAGACCACCAAATAACACCCCTCCCACACACAAAAAAACTTTTTTATATGGAAGGCTTGAACAAAAGACATGCAAGCAGCAGCCTGTGGAGGTTGGGCGGTAACGTTCGCCAGGCTAGCTGCCCTTTTTGAGCTTGTGGGATTCTGCTGTTTGTCTCCCATCTCACCACAGGGCAGCTGGGATTGCAAGAACATGGTGCTACACCAGCTTTACAGGGCTTTGGGCATCCATGGGGTCATCACGCTGTGTGACAAAGGCTGTATGTACTGAACTCTCACCAGTCCCTTCCCGGGTTTAACGTTTCTGATACCCTTCCAGGTTTCTGAAATCCAAGTTGATTAACACACGTTTTGGAGACATGTATATGCCTAGTACAGGAGCGCTCATGCTGCTGACAGCCTTGCACACCTGTGACCAGGTAGGTGGCCGCGGATCACGGCCGTCAACAGGACTCACTGTGGCCCAGAAGTGGGACTGGGCAACAGATCCCCACTCGCTATCCAGGAGGGTGGGTTCTGGGTCAGCCTAGCCTTAGCTCCCACACCCTCCCTTCCTGATCCCTTCCTTTGTGGTGTTTAAGGGGCAACTGCCCAAACAAGTCTTCTGAAAGCAAACTCTCAGAATTGGCTGGGGACGTCCTAGAGCTGGCAGAGAACAGTGGGTTCAGCCTTCCACATCAGAAAATTTGAAACTGGTAAAAGGTTCCTGGTAGGATCTGTGTGGTGACATACAAGGGAGGTTGAGTGAGTTTTCAAAGGCAAGCATGAGGGCCCTAGGTTCAATCCTCGGGACTTAAGAAAAAAGAAAAAGGCTGTGGTCCCTGTAAAGGCATGAGGGATGGAGGTTAGACACCACTCTGGTCCTGGCTGTTTCTTGACTGTATTCCTGGATGATGGCCTCCATCCTTGAACTTCAAGATCATGATGGCTGAGTCACACTTAAGTTCCAAACCTGGCTCTGCCTCTCACTGAGTACTGGCATGTGTCGTTACTAATTACACCTTTTGTTCAACGGAGTTTTAAGACTCATCTTTGAGGATGTGTACAAAGGGCACAGTGCCTGTGTGGAGCTCTTTATATTGGGGACAGGCACTCTATTTCAAGTCAATGAACACTAACTGTAACTGTCCCCACCCAGGTCAGTGCCTACGGATTCATCACAAACAACTACCAGAAATACTCAGACCACTATTTCGACCGAGAGAAGAGACCACTGATATTCTACGCAAACCACGATCTGTCCCTGGAAGCTGCGCTCTGGCGTGATCTGCACAATGCCGGCATTCTTTGGCTGTACCAACGCTGACTCCCAAGTCCCGACTTCTGTGCCTCAAAGCTTCCTGATCTTTCGACCTTTGGAAGAGGCAACACTCCCCCTGGCCCTCTACTTCCCAACAGAGGATATTGAGACAAGACCCGTCATGTAATCCCAGAGCCTGTTCAATGCACGGCACCGTCACGAGTCAAGACAATTCTTCTGAGTCTTGGCCACGGGAGGGCAGACTGCTTTGTAGGATTTGTTTTAAAATTGAACATTAACTCTCCCAAAATGAGAGACAGTCGTCCTTACCAGCAGAGGCAGGCACATCTCAGAGCTAAGTAGTTCAAAGCCAGCACCCGGTCCTGAGCGACTAGAGAAATTAATGGAACCCCCCTCAGGGCTACCCAGTAACCAAGAATGAGCAGAGACCCAACCCCAGCTGAAACCAATGGCATGTCAAGTCCCAAATGCCAAAGCCATTGAGCCTATGAGGACACCTTAAGCATTCTAAGAACATGACACTTCTGCCTCCTGACAGGATGGGAACCAGAGGCAGAATAGTTTGAGGCTAGATAATAGGGTAAGTGATGGATGACCACTTTTTTTGTTGGTAGAGTAGAAGATACAAACTACAAGATGGTGTGTCTGGAGGGAAGGGGTGTGGTGGCACTCAGGACACACGCGCCAAGGCCCAGGCGATGAGCATCTAGCACCTAAGTATGGGAGGTGGCAGCATTTGACCAACCTCGCTTAAGTCGCCACCGAGACTGAAGAGGAGAGGTACATCAGTCCTTGTCACCAACAGGAAACAGTGATGGACCCTCACTTCCCAGCTTTAATAAACAGCACCTGATGCAGTCCAACGAGCCTTTCAGTCTCATCCATGCAGCTCCTAACGAAAGGCTGGAATGGGGCGTGCCTATCTCTAAGGACTACCGGCCAGTTCCCCAAAGCTGAGGACCAACTGCTGGTTCTGTGGTTTGGGAAACCTGCTGGCAATAAACCCAAGTCACTACTGACCACAGGACTTTAAAAACCTCACTACAGCTGGGAGTAGTGGTGTGCACCTTTATTCCCAGCACTGGGGAGGAGTGGCAGACCAGGCCAGCCCAAGGCATCTAACAGCCTGTCTCAAACCCAAACCTGACAGTGACCATGGTGGCTCCCACCCCATTCCCAATAGAGGAGGCTGAGACAGGGATAATAGTTTGAGACCCAGCCTGGGGGTTAATTACCCAGGAAACCACAGCCTCTTGCTACAGGAGTTGAATGGTTGTCCTACCGACTAACTCCAGACAGCCCCGGGTCAGTTCTGCAAACTACCAGTCCCTCCCTGATCTCACACAGCTGGCAGTACTGCCCTGGCAACTCACATTCTCAATACCCTGTCACACAGTACACACAGTACACACAGTACACACATCAAATGTGCAGACACATTGGCAGTACTTTACCAATGTTCCATTTAAGATTGATCTGCACCATGTGGGTACTGGGAATCGAACCCAGGTGTTGTGGAAGAGTAGCTGTGCCCTCCAGCCCATCACCACTGGATGGTTGAGATGTTAGGCAATGTTAACTTAGGTTAGGTGACAAGTCAATTTTAGCAGGTCAACAGAAACAGTCTGATTCTCTGCAGTTCAGCTCACGAGCTATTCAACAGTCCTTAAGTGTTCTAAGGCTCACTGGTACATCCACACATGCTACCAAGTTAAATTTTATAAAGTTTATTTGTGCTTCAAAATACAAAGCCCAACCCTGACTTCCCAGAAAAATCTGTCAGAAATGCTTTTCTGGACTCAGCAGGGGCCTTCCCAGTGCCTCTGACTGAGTGCCCTCATCAGCTGCCAAAGGCTTCCCAGGGTGACCAGTCAGGTAACTCTACTCCAAGGTCTTTTGATGACTGGAAAACGAAAGGCAGGAGCAGCAACAGCTATATAGTTCTCTGGCACTACAGAGCAATAACCTAGAAACAAGAGAATTGGAAGGAGAGAGCTAAGTTAGTAAAACTGAAACCTCTAGGACCAGGCATTTTCACTCTTGGAATTCCCGGCACCATCACAAGGCATCAATGTGTGCTGTGCACTGGCAGGCACGAGTAAAGTTCAGAAGCAGGCTGAGAACTATGTTTTTTGTTTGTTTTGGTTTTTCAAGACAGGGTTTCTCTGTGTAGCTCTGGCTGTCCTGGAACTCACTCTATAGACCAGGCTGGCCTCAAACTCAGAAATCCACCTGCCTCTGCCTCCCACGTGCTGGGATTAAAGGCGTGCGCCACCACCGCCCGGCTAACTGTTTTTTTAAAGTTTTAAGAAGTTTCTGGTAAATGGCCAAAAAAAGGTTTCTCATGAAACCTTTCTCATGAGTATTTATTTATATGCAACTAAACCCCTAAGGACCTGAACCTGAGTCCACTCAGAAGCAAAGCTGGGCAGACTGCCCTCTCCTCTTGCCTGCAGTAAAGCTCACAAGTGCGACTACTTTAGTGATGAAGGCAAACCTAACCTTAAGCCTGGGCACACCTCCCAGTTTTCACAGAAGGACACTGTGGACACTTCAATGTTAGGTCTGAGCAGAGCCTGCTCCTCTCAGCTCCAGTAGCTGCTTGCTCCTCTGTGCCATCAAGGAGACAGGACTTAGGCTGTCCTGAGGAAGCTGACAGGGGCATGGCACCTTCTTTCCTAAATGTCAAGCACCGCTAGAGGCAAGAGCAGCCGGTAAGAACTCTCATGGCACACGCCTTATATTCCTCCTCTAAATGTGACAAGTACTTCTCACTCCAGTGAGTACAGGACAGACGCTGGCAACCTGCCCATTTCTGCTAACTCAGGGGCTTTGCCCTCAGAGCACCCAGGGGGAGGGTTAAGAGGGCAGCTAGGCCTTAGGTTTTGGGAGGCTGGCACACAGCTCTCTGCGGAGTCTATTCAACTCAATCCCTTATAATGCTCAAATTTCTTCAAGCACGGGGCCACACCCCTAAGCTTCAGCAGAGTATTTCCCTCAGCTGAAATCTTCAGACAGGGAGAACTAGTCCATCATAGGCTTCCGGGCTTTCTGGGACCACAAACAAAATGACAACAGAAAAATCTCAAAGAGCCAGGCACAGTAACACATGCCTTTAATCTTAGCACCTGGAAGGCCACGAGCTGAGTTTGAGGTCAAATGGGTCTACATAGCAAGTTGCAGGCCAGCAAGGGCAGTACAGTAAGACTATCTAAAAAGGAGAGGAAGAGTTACACTCAATTCTGCAACACTCATAACCCCAAATCTAACAGACCAACCCTTCCCAGCAACCACAAGCAAAGATCTTACCACACAGACTCATCCCGAAGGCCCTTATGCACCACGCCTTACGATGATGCTTCCTGGAACCAACATGTCAATCTGAAGGAGTAATAGAGACCACACTTCATTCTAACAGAAGCTACCTTAACGTGGACATTCTCAAAATAGGTCTCAAGAGTCGAGCCTCAGTAAACCATGACTCTTCATAGAAGTGTCATTCAGACAGGGATAACTTCAATCATCATCCGCTCAACCAGTAACAACTGCTTCCTCTGTCACAAGGGACCTACAACAACCTAGCCAAGAAACAAAACTTACCTGTTCCTCAGCACATTCCTCAGCCAGATTACAGGCCTAGGAAGCACTGATGCTTCACTGAGCCGTGTGTGGAAGGTCTTCTGCGGACAGGCATTGTTCTGAGTCCAGGCAAAAATCCAGGTGCAGGGCGGCTACCTGTGTGGCAGCATCAGCATCCCTTGAGGGCCCAGAAACTGAGGCTCAGCCTACACCTATCGGTAAGGAAACAGACAGGTTAACTCCACACAGAAAGACCTTCAGACAGATTAACTTTCCATCATCACAGACTCAGCTCCCACAGCACGGTAGGCATCTATGCACAGAACTTTTTATAAGCTTTTAACAAAGATTCAGCAAGTGTTCTTAATCACTAAGCTATTTCTCTTAAAGATGAGGTGACTAACAGGAAGTTGGCCAAGACTGCTTCATCCACGAGGGTGGACCGAAGAAATGTGTGTATTTTAACACTTTTTATGTGTTCTGAGATACATCCAGGTTTGGAAAACAGTGATTCCGTGTTACAGAAGACAGGGCTCTGTATCACTATCAGGTAGCAGGCCCAAACCCTTTACGAAATTTCCAGGCCAATAGACAGCTCAGTGGCTAAAGAAGCCAAACTCATACAAGTCAACCTGACTAACACATGCATGCACATACAAAAGAAATATAATCCCCTGAGCTTCACTTAACTGTTCCCAAGGGAGAGACAACTTTGTATTCACAAACATTAAATACAGCTTGTGAGAGTGCTAATGGAGGAACAGCAGAACCGTTCCCTCATCCGAATAATCAATTCTGCAACACTCACAACCCCAAATCTAACAGACCAACCCTTCCCAGCAACCACAAGCAAAGATCTTACCACACAGACTCATCCCGAAGGCCCTTATGCACCACGCCTTATGATGATGCTTCCTGGAGCCAACATGTCAATCTGAAGGAGTAATAGAGACCACACTTTATTCTAACAGAAGCTACCTTAACGTGGACATTCTCAAAATAGGTCTCAAGAGTCGAGCCTCAGTAAACCATGACTCTTCACAGAAGTGTCATTCAGACAGGGATAACTTCAATCATCATCAGCTCAACCAATAAGAGGTTACAGAATCCCCGGGCAACCCAACTCAATTTTCTAAGTCTGTTCTGGCAACCACGTTGAGTTCCAGAACGACACTCGGTAGCCCCAAATTACAATGGCACAGACCCTCTCTGGACTTGTCTGGAACCCTTACGGAAATGGACTGAGGGCTCAACGCCCGTTCTTATAGCAGAAGTAAACCTGAGGCAGAAGCCCATCTACCTATGCCTTCTGAGTGGTGGGCACAGAGAGTCCGTTTGCTCTCAAGGACCCAGCCATGACTTCTGAGACGGAACATGCAGCTTGTCTCTCGAGTACCAAAGGCATGCCTTCGTGGAAGGAAAAATCTGCCATGCTAAAACTATCCATTTTCAGTCTACAGTCCCCTTCATTACAATCTGTAGTTACCAGGGGCCACACGTATTCACGAATTAAGGCCACCACCCCCAATGAAAACCCCAGGGCAGAGCTGAGCACATGGCTGGCTACGGGCCACAGAGGGAAAACCGCTCCCTCCCCGGCCACAAGAGAAGGAAGTTCGAAACCCAAAAAGGGCTTCATCTCTTTGGCATGAAACTTCTCGCAGTCTGGAAAGCACTGTCGTAGAATCTCAGACCTGACCTAACGCCTACAATAGCAAAGGAAAGGGCTCATCGTCGACACTTCATCTCCGGAGAGAGCAAGCATGTCGACGGTATGTGTAGAAAAAACCTCATCGTCCCTTTTCCACCGCTTACCATGACCCGAAGCCTAGGCCTTTCAGGTAGAGCATCACTGACCGAGGTGGCCATACCTTCCAAACACGCGCGGCAGAGGACCTCGGAAAGAACGAGGGTGCGCTTGCGCGCAGTCTTCCCCCCCCCCCCCCAGTCTCGCCGGAACTCTCGCGATATTAAGAAAGGCTTGATGGGAAATGTAGTTCTAAAGCTGTCGTTGCCGAGAGTGGGTCGTCTCACCTCAGCCTGAGCATAGACAAGGGGTAAGATGGTGGCAGCCACCAGGGGCAGCAGAGGGTCCAGGGTGAGACGTTTGGTCTGTGGAGAACTTCGGCGGTCCCCGGCTAAGGCTGGGGAGGTGGAGAATGTTTGAGAGTTCAGGGACCGATGAGGAAACTGAGGCTCGTTATTAATTGTGCTACAGATTTTTATCTGCGGTGGAGAAATGTCATTTGGCTTGGTTCCTTAGGGAAGTCCAGGGAGAGTCCCAGGGGATCCTCAACTGCTTTTAAGATGGGGGCGAGAGCGGGTGCGGGCGGCAGGGGGCGCTCGAGAGCCGCAGGGGCGACCAGCAGCAGCAGCAGGTAGTCTCCTGCCTGTGGCACTGTTCTCACGAGGAAGAATCGTGAAAACAGCGCTGAGGACTAGCCAGCATAAATTGGAGATAAAAATCATTTTAATAGAGGCGTTTAGTGTGAGGATTAGGAGGAAGAGAGGCGCTCAGGAAGAACGCACACCCCAGTGTGGGAATGGGCTCAAGGGAGAGTTGCAGTTAATTGCCTTAGCGTTAGCCGTGTATGACCATTCTGGTAGCTCCTGGGCTACAACTTACACTTTCTTGCTATCTTGGTAAGTGAAATAAGTGTGCTGTCCCCAGAGACCCTTTGGATGGAATTGTAGTCCACGAGTCGTTAGGGGTTGCATGGAGTGGGCGTGGGGGGTTAGTTTGTGTCCTCCCTCCCCTTGTTAAATGTGATTGGTGTCTGGTGAGAGTCGCTGAAATTTGTAGTTTAATATCTGGGAAGGGTGAGAGGCCTTCAGCAGTTGGTAATTATACCAGAATTCTTGCTTCTCTGTTGGCAAGAGACTTGAGGGGACTCCTGAGTGAGGGACCCCCCTCCCTCTTCAATGGCCATGTTTTCTATGCCTTTCCATCCTGCCTCATTCGTTTTGAGTACCATTTTGCATGAAGCATCTTGGCTTCATTTTTAAAATAAGACAAAGTGGCAAGGCAGGGCCGGAGCTTATACCTGTTTACAAGCTACTTTAAGCTAGGAAGATGGAGAGCCTTTAATTCATGACACTCGCCCCGTTCTCCTCACAAGGGGCTCTGTAGCATTTAGCCTGTATCGTTCTTTAATGTGGAAATCTGTTACTTACTCTTAATGACCATATTTGCATAAATTTCTCTCCTTTAATTTGACTTCGAGTGTTTCAGCAGCAGAGGGGCCTCTCTTAATATTTTTTTTAATTCCATCACAGTGCTGGGCTTAGTGTTTGGCTATGTCTTCTCACAGAATGTTCCAGGGAAATAACCATTAATGTATTCAGCAAGAACACAGGCCCTTGAATTTTCTATCTTACTCTTGAAGACAGATTATTTTGTTGAATACTAAAGGGAAGAATGCATTTTTCTCCCAGCACGCTAAGTTCTTTCTTGTGAGACTTGCAGAGGGAATTCTGAAGAATTTGCCCATAGCCAGTTGTGAAACTTGTGGGCACGTGGCCTTCTGCAGACAGGATAATAATGGTAGTTAATACTTTACAGGATTCGCTAGGTGGATGCTCACTGTCTCAGGCCCTGTAATCCTCACTATCTGTGAAGCCCTGTGACTGTCCCATTTGACAGAAGAAGAGACACATCTTGAAAGGTGAGGTGCTGTTTAAAGTCACACTTGTTTAAAGGCAGACTTGGTTTGATCTCAGCCTGCGGAGTTTATCCCTTTATCGTTCCATTGCTGAGTGACTTGGTCTCCTATGGAAGAACTTTTCTTCTGGGGGAAAGTAAACTAGAGGAGGATTGTTGTGTCTTCAAAAATGTATGTGTATGAACATATATGCAGGTGCACATGTATGAGCATGCGGGTGCATGTAGAGTCAGACATCAATTTGGGGTGTCTTTCTCAGTCACTCCCCACTTTAGGTGTCAAGTCAAAGTCTCTCACTAAACCTAGAGCTTGTAGGTTGGCTAGACAGACCAACCACTGAGCTCCAGGCATCCCTCTGTCTCTGCTTTCCCAGAGCTCAGACTACAGACACTGTTCCTACCTTCTTCTGTTGCTCTGTGTATTTGTTTACTTATTCCATGTGTGGTGTGGGGGTTGTCTGCATGTACATCTGTGCGCCACGTGTGTGTCTGGTGCCCTCGAAGGCCAGAAGAGGATGTCAGATTACCCCTGGAACTAGACTCACAGTTGTAAGGTGCCAATTGGTCTCTGAGACTAGGACCTGCGTCCTGTAGAACAAATGCTCTCACCCCCTGAGCCTTCTCTCTAGCCCCTGCACCTAGCTTCTTATGTGAGTACCGGGGAGCTGACCTCATGTCCCCCTCATGTCCCCCTTCTTGTGCAGCAGGTACTTTCCCAACTGAGCCATGTCCCCAACTACAATTTTTCTGTCTTTAGAGGTGGCTGGAGCCTGATAAGTAAAGTTGACACAAGGATGCTGGCCACCTGCTTTGTTGGTTTGAGCCACATGGGGGCAGAGTGAGTTGAGAACGAGCACCTGTAGGAGCCACTTGGAGGTCTGGCTTTGGGATCTCATGTTGACTCAGGGCTCCAGGATAAATGCCACCCAGTGTGCAGAAAGGCCACTATTCCTAGCACCTCACTCTGCCTGTAGGTCTCTGTGTGCGTTTCACACCTGCACAACTCATTATACATTGTGGGACAGCCACAGGCACACAACCGATGAGGGTACCACCAGCAGCTGGGCAGTGGCCAAGAGGCTGGAGCAAACTCCAAAGGCCTTGTGCCTGAGCACACATGAGACGCCACTGTGTAGGCAGTCCAGAAATAACAGAGAAGCTTCGAAGGCTGCGGCAGAATTTCTGAATGAGCAGCCAAGGACAGGGCTGCCCAGAATGAAGTGCTAATGTTACTGTGATCTCATTTGCACCGGGTGTGACTGAGATCAGGAGCCATCTGAATCTTGCGTACAGTGGAATCCCATACCCTTTCTACAAGATCTACAAATGCAGATTACAGCTATCACATGACGCACCACAGTCCAGGGCTAAGTGTCGGAAACAAACAAGCCGATTATCACCCCAGGGCTGTGAGACCCAACCTCAGAATGCACAAGGGAAATTTAGTCAGCTGGCCTGCAGGGCTGGGGAAGTCACTGACAGGATTTGAGAAAGATGTGGTTTCTGAAACCCATAGCAAGAAAGCAGTCTTTACAGCATTGATGTTCCCTTCTTAGTTACAAAGGGAATCGTGGATTTTATTAATAAGATCACGAAAGAGGGGTGGTGATACCTCCACGGCGCTGGCGGCTTACACTTGGAGCATCTGCATCAGTGGTTTCACAGGAAGTACGTCTGTATGCAGGCATGTTGGTGGCCGGCCTGGAAGCTGTTCTTCCTCCATCTTGTCTACAATACAATTCCGGCCAAGTCTGGGGAATTCTTCTTGCCTTTAAAAACAACAGCCTCTCTTCTGGCTCTGGGACACTGTAGAGGCGTGATGCTTGGGCTTGTCACAGCCGTCTGGAATCTGTGAGGCTCCCTTCAGAGCAAGAGCCAAATCCCTCTGAGGATGGATGGGGAAGAAGAAGAGTGTCCTTGAGGCTTCTGATCAACTGCTGGGGCAAGCCAGTCCTAAAACCCTTGGCTTTCATCCCTTGTTGGTTTAAAGATACACTTTCATGTTTACTGTTTCTGTATGTGGGATCCGCCTTAGAAGTTTCAGTAAAATACAGGGTGTGAGGTGTAAGAAAGAAGTGTCATCGTTTAAGTTTCAAGCTGTGGGGTCTGCTAAGAGTCTAGTTCTAGTCAAGCGAAATGATACCCACATTTCACATTTCCTCATGAAGAATTCCTTGGAAGCCAGGTGTGATGGGACATACCTTTAATCCCAGTACTCGGGAGGCAGAGACAAGCAGATCTCTGAGTTCGAGGCCAGCCTGGTCTGGTCTACAGAGTGACCAGGATATATCCAGGGCTACCCAAAGAGACCCTATCTCAGAAAAAAAAAAAAAAAGATGAGGAGGAGGAAAGGAAGGAAGGAAGGAAGGAAGGAAGGAAGGAAGGAAGGAAGGAAGGAAGGATTCCCTGGAAGAAGCCAGACATGGTGGCACAAACCTTTAATGTCATCACTCACAAGGCAGAGGCAGGTGGATCTCCTTGAGTTTAAGGCCAGCCTAGTCTACATAGTGAATTCTAGGCCAGCCATAACTTCACGATAAGTTTCCATCTCAACAACAAAAAAACAAAAAAACAAACAAAAAAAAAACCCAAAACACACACAGGAAGAAAAGCCATGCCTTCACCCGTCTTATCTGCAAAGCCATTTCCTCTAATAAAATTGCCACTTAAAAACGGATTTTTAAAAATAAACAAGTTTGAAGAATATGCAGTATTGTCTGGACCTCATCTGTTCTTTCCTGGACATGTCTCCCCATTCCCGGAAATCCCTGCCTCGTTAACGTTGCATAAGCTTGGCTTGTGGTGTCTGTTCCCTTTGCTTTGGCTTCCCTTCCTTGCCTCTGCTTGGCACGTTCCAGCTCATCTTAAACACCTCCCTGTGTGCTCTCGGCTGGGCTGCCACACTGCGGCACCCCGGGTTTTCCTTGTGACACCTTTCCTATGGCAGGTGTTTTAGCACATGCTCTGTTACGGGAGCAGGCTGGAGGAAAATCCCAGCTCAACTGAACCCAGCTTGAACTACTTTGGACAGACTACCTTTGGATAGACTATCCTTCACCCGTCTATTCTCGTCTCTGTTTTGTTGTTGTTGTTGTTGTTTGTTTTCTTTTCAAGATAGGCTCTCACTCTGTAGCTCTGCTTGTCCAAGAACTCACTCTGTAGACCAGGCTGGCCTAGAACTCACAGAGCTCTGCCTGCCTCTGCCTCCCAAGTGCTGGGATCAAAGACATGCGCTTCAAATCCTCGTTTTGACAATGAGGGAGAGCGATGATAATTTGGAGCCCACAGGATCGATTGTAAGACTGTATATCCAAAGCACTTACGTAGTGCCTGGCACAGAGCTAAGGACATACAGATGGGACCTCTTGATACTTCCGTTTCTTCTAATACTCATTGTCCCCCCGTTTTTAATATTTGCTTTATTAGTGTGCATGTTTGTGTGCTTGCTTGAGTTTCTGTGCACCGTGTGTGTGCAAATGCCTATGGAAGCCATAGAGTGTCAGGCCTCTTAGAGCTGGACTTGCAGGTGGCTGTGAGCTACCTGCTGTGGATACTGGGAACCGAACCTGGGTCTTCTGCAAAGTAACAGGTCCTTTTAACTGTTGAGCCACCTCCCCAGCCCCATTCCACATTTCATCATAATTTCCTTCCTTCCCCAACTCCCTTCCGATATTGGGCCTTGAACCCAAGACTCAGGCATGTGAGGCAAATGCCCTCCTCTCCCCGGGTGGGGGATGGGATCCCACTAAAGTTGCACAGCCTGGCTTTGACCTTGTCACCAGCTCCTCTGCTGTCTAGGATTATAGTCGAGTGCCACATTTGCTTATTTATATCTTGTTTTTTTTTGCTGGACTGTGAACAAATGGTGAACATGTCTTCATCCTTGTTTCGCTTTTTAGCTATGGAAGCCATTTTTGTTGAGGTATAAGAGCCATATATTCATATATACATAAAGCATATTCAAAATCCACTATCAGAGTCCAGTAAGCAAACACATGCCTGTGAGCATCAATTCCCATCAGGATTAAGAACATTTTTGCTCCCCGAGCACCCACATGGCTCTTTCTTGTTTTGTGCAGTCCAGCTGTGGCCTGGGTCAGCACTGCTCTGCTTCCTGTGCCCGTCAGTGGATCTTCTCTGGTCCTAGCACTTCACACATGTGACCACACATGAGCTTCCCCTCCCTGTCTGCCTTCCTAATCGTCCTGTGCTGTTTTTGAGTGTTTTGGGTTTTTTTGTTTTTCAAGGCAGGGTTTCTCTATGTAACCCTGGCTGTCCTGGAACTCACTCTGTAGACCAGGCTGGCCTCGAACTCAGAAATCCGCCTGCCTCTGCCTCCCAAGTGCTGGGATTAAAGCCGTGCGCCACCACCGCTCAGCTTGTTTTGTTTTTAACATGTATGTGTGTGTGTGTTCGTGAGTGTGCATTTGTGCTCACATAGGAATGAGACTGGCTCTTTGACTCTGGCCCCCGATGTTCAGAGTCTGTCATTAAGTCCTTTCTGTTTATTTGAATTTTCATAGCCACACCTGGGTCCTAACCCCCCACCATGGGTCATTGGTACTTCAAGGAGAGAGTCTGTGGTCTCAGCGAGATTAATGGATCCTCACTCAAAGCCACCTTGCCCCTCCCCCTCCCCGAGGCAAACAAACAAACCAAAGCCATTGCCCTCCTCAGCCCTCTCTCTGCAACTGGGCTGCTGGCTGTCACCCTCTCCCCAGAGTCCTGACCCTAGTTGGAGGAGGCAGCAGAGTGACAGAGACAGTGACAGGGAGTGATGGCCTTGCTGTCTGTCATCCCTGCCAGGGGCCACCACTTCCTGTTTCAGGGGCACTGACGGATCCCGAGGAGGCAGACTCTCTGTGCTCTCCTCAGCTGGCGAGCAAGGACTAGCCTCTCAGATCCCAGAGTCTGGCCTGCTTTTGACTGACATGTGCCTGAAGAGAAAACAGCAGTGTTCTCTGTGTCCCCTGGCCCCTGCACAGATAGACGTGGCAGGTAGGCCCACAGCTCCAGGCCCTGTGTCCTTGTAGGTAAAACCGCACCCGGACTTCTTTGTAGACCCTATCTGCAGATTCGAGACCTCTCTACCATAATAAGGTTTGCTATCAGATTCCCAGACACAGGTCCTGGCTTCACTGCCAGCTGTGACCTTGAGCAAATGCTGTGACCTTCGCTTTCCTTACTGGGGACATGAGGATCACAAGTTCCTGCCTCATCAATGAGACCATGCTTATAAATAAGGCACTGGGCACAGTGCCTGGCGTACACTAAGTCTGAGCCGTGTTAGCCATTTTTATTTTTATTTATTTATTTATTTTTTGGTGTTTTTCGAGACAGGGTTTCTCTGTGTAGCCCTGGCTGTCCTGGAACTCACTCTGTAGACCAGGCTGGCCTCGAACTCAGAAATCCACCTGCCTCTGCCTCCCAAGTGCTGGGATTAAATGCACGCGCCACCACTGCCCAGCCCGTGTTAGCCATTATTAACAGTACTATTAGTGACATTAGCATTCTATTAATGTAATCCTCAGCATAGCCACTCTGATGGGCTCCTTATTTGGGGGCTCTCAGCCTCTCCCTAACACCAAAGCCCTGCAAAGAACCGGGACCAGGAGAGTAAAGCGCTCCGTCTGCCCTTGCCTGCCTCAAATGGCCCCAGGTTACACTTAGTCTAGTACTGACCAGCACCTCTGCCGTATTCCCCTCACAGGACAGTTCTGCATGCGTGGGATGGGTGGGTGCCCCCCAGAGTCATATCCGCACTTCAAGGTGACACAGGACAGAACCACACGGCAGCAGCTGCAGAAGCCGCTCGAACCACTACCTCACTCCCCCGCAACGTCTCATTCTGTCTCTCCAGTCATGTCACCAGGAGAGACTGGCAGCTGTCCTGAGTGTCAGCCACCGCAGAAGCAGCAGACAGCAGCACTCCCTGCTCAGGCCACTGCCCTTAGCCACCCTGCAGCTCAGAGCAGCCCTTCCCTGTCACCCAGGCTCTCACCGGACTGAGAGATTAGCATTCAGAAGAGCTGGGAAGACACAAGGGCAACCGGCTCCAGACAAGGGAGGGGAGGCACCAGGGCAAACCTGTCGTCCACAGCCGAGATTGCTTTGGAAAGCAAAACCTGTCATGGGAAGGTGTCCATGCTGAGACAGCCTTCTGTATGCAGAGAGGCCCCGGACCGGTGCTCTCACCCGGCCCTGCATCTACCTCCCCGCCTCTTCTCATTTGTCCATCACCCAGGTGTCATGTATGTAGAGGGAGGACAGGACGAGGTAGCCTGGGGTAAGGGGAGGAAGAGCTGCAACAGCTGTACAGTAGCTTACATCCAAAGACTGGCAGACCCGCGGCACTTACTTGTGTGTGTTGTGTAGTGTAGTTGTGTAGCGAGCACTACACAGTCACCTAACCCTCACAGAATGAACTCAGTCTTAGAGAGACTAGGAAACAGAAGCACAGAGACATGCTATCCCTACCCAAGGTCACAGAGGAAGGAAGTGCCTGCCAGTCCCGGCCCTGGCTCCAGCCCCTTTGCTCTTAGGTCCCTGATTATTCAGAGCCAGCCCCCTGCACCAGCAGCTACCGTCCATTCATCTCACCTCTGTCCCTCCCAAAGCACCAGAATATCCCTGCTCCCGTTTCCGATCAGCAGCTATTTCTAAGGAAACAGGACACGGAAGGACTTAGCCTCTGTGAGGACAGCATCGTGGCCAAGAATTAACTGACAGCCTCTGTACTTTAAAGATCACCCCTTGACCTGTGTGATGGAAGTTTGTGGGCTGAGGAAGGACACCTGGGCACTGACTCCTATAGAGGAGTTCTGGGCTGAGGGAGGGTTCGAGGGCAGATGGAGCCTCCCCTATGAGGGAAGGGACTTTCTGAGCAAAGGCTGCAAGTGTGCAGATTGCTCAGAGAGCCTGGGATGGGAGAGGCCCTGGGAATAAGCCGAGCGTGGGCAGGGTGTGCAGGCAAGGTGTAAACACAGTCTGCTCCCACCAAGCCCGCCTGCTCCCTGGGGGAGAAGACCCCTCCCTCCCAGCCCACATGGCACCCCAGCTGCCAGGTTCCAGGGACCTGCATCCCCTCACTGCCAGCGAGCCCCTTCCCATCCCGATCCTGCCCTTCATCTAGGATGGATCCCTAGAGGAGATTCACAGAAAGACGCTGCAAGAAGGTGTTGCCCTGTTAGAAGCGGAGCTGGGCTGGGAGCCAGCCCTGGTACCGCTCTGTGACCTTGGCCTGGCAATTTCTTGGATCATTGGAAGGAGGCGGGCAACTTGGAAATGGCAGAGAGGAGAGACAAGGATGAAGTGACAGGAACATGGTGACTAGATTAGAGAGTGAATGCAAAGCTGGGATCGGAGAAGACAGAGTCCCTAGCAACAGTGCCCTCTGGCCGTCAGCCTTACAGGCCTGTCACTGGCACGACTCATGCCTCCCAAGAGAAAACAGGCTGACAGGAGCTGAGACAGGTGGCCATGGGCTTATGGGCTCAGGGGCACTCTGGCAGGTTCTTTCCCCTAGTGTGACACAAAACATACACACACACACACACACACACACACACACACACCCCTCCTGCCCTACTTCAAGAGCTCTCACAGAACTGCCGGTGAACCTCCCTGAGCCAGGCTTTCAAAGTACCAGCCACTCCTCCCAGTGGGTACCTTCCCTCTCCCTTCCCCCCTGCAACAGTGGGTCCCTCAGCTGCTGTATCTCTCATCCTTTCTCTCCCTCCACTGAAGTGGAACAGTGCTGGGATCCTGCTGTCTAGGGAACTGTCTTCTGTCGCCTGAAAGTCAAAGGCAGAGGCTGGCTAGACAGAGGCATCACTGCTGGGCTGGCAGCAGGGAGCTGAGTGGGGAAGAGAGACACATGGGTGGGGGTGCTTTTGAAGATGAATGGCTCCCAGACACTTGGGAGCAGCTGCCCGCAGGGTAAGCCTGGATCTGCCAAGCAGGAGCGGAAATGTGCTTTTATCTCTGCTCTGGATCAGGCAGGACAGTAAAGACAGAAATGGCAGAGCAGCTGGGGGCAAGGGAGGCCGCCACCGAGTTACTGAGCAGTCAGCATGGTGACAAACACAGCATCATGCTTTCCCCTTCCCACTCGCCGCTGCCCACTTAGAATCTGTGTGCACACAGATACAAACATACACACACGTGCACACACATGCACACAAACACACACACAGATAAACACATACATACACATGCACACAAACACACACATACACACACATGCACACACATGCACACAAACACACAGATACACACATATATACACACACACACATGCACACAGACACACACAAAGCACATTCAGAGTACAAGCTGGCGTTTGCTTCCATCCATCCAGCTTCGGGCAGACAGACATGCCACAGATCCAGCTGGCCTTTCTTACTGATAATTTCAGGAGAGCAGCCAATGACAGGATGAGTTCTAGGGACTGAAAAGAGGCAGATGCCACAGGAATAAGAATCACTGTAGCTGAGTGACACAACCCAGCCCTAGACCACAGGGATTTAGCGGAATAGTTCCCAAGCTGACGGATGGCTAGGCCGATAGAATCCCCTTTTGCTAATCAGTAGCAGAGTTGAGTAGGGGGTTAATCTTGGATCCCCCACCTAGTCACGTGGTAATGGGCTGTGCCTTCTTGTGTGTGTGCCATGAAGTATGTACGCTCTGTGGGTTAAGCTCAGGATTGGATTGGAGAATGAATGGAGAAACCCTTAATGACTAAGCCCAAACTATCATTTACCCTTCCCTTGGTTCTGGAATCGTCTTGTTCTCTGCTTGCACCTGACCCTTGCCTGAGATGCTGTGCTCCCAACAGTTAACCTGGAGGACCCTGAGAAACCCTTCTCTGTGCCTTTTCCATCTTGGCAGTCCCTTAGAGCAGGGGCTTGGAAATGGACACCTAGAAGCACAAACATCCCATGTTCTCTCTGCCACCCCAGCTTTGCTCAGGAGCCCGAGTCGTGGCCTTAGAGCTGTGGAGGAAAAGCCTACCTTTTCCATGGCCGCTTCTCCTGTTTTCACTCCTGCAGCTGCTTTGAGCACCACAGCATCCTCCTGGGATGGGAGGTGAACCAGGACTCCAGCTAGAACAGAAAGTCAGTCAGTTAAGCGTGCTCCCCTGTGCCCAGAGGTGAGGTGTGTATTTCAGGGTGGCCCGGTCCACCGCCTCTCTCTCAGAAGTCAACAGCACTGCCCTCAGGACTTATCTCAGCTACCACCTCACCCTCAAGCCTTAAAAAACGTGTCAGGGCCACACTCAAGTCTCTTCAAACCAGCCCTTACCCTGTGGCCTGAAACATAAGTAACAAGCTCAAAGATAAACCCAGCCTAACCCAATCTCTGCCAGTGATTCTGAGAACTGAAGACTGATTCCCTCACCCCACATGGCTGGATCAACACCCTGCCTTCTGCCTTCCAGGGCTCCTGGTCCAGCCTTTACCTGTTAGGGCCAGTGGGTGGGTCGCAGTCCCCAGAGTCGAGCTGCCTGAAGAAGTGAAGGCTTACTTCACCGGTCCTTTCTCCCTGAACAGAGGGAAGCACTGGAGTCAGGAGATGGAAGGGTTAAACCTGTCATGTTAGGGGACTCTTCCTCCTACTTCACCTAGCCATTCCCCTGTGGCAGCTCCCCTCAGCAACCTGCTCCTTGTTGTCTGATTAATTCTTCCAGGTAACTGGGTGCCAAGGAGTTAAAAGGCATCAGGCTAGGCCTGACCAATAGTCCTCGGGTCTGGGCTTTTCTCTTTGGTCAGGAGGTCTAGACCCTTTTTTTTTTTTTGTAGGCAAGACAGATATTTGGAAGTCAGACAGCCCCCTCTTCCTGTTGCTCAGTCACTAGCAAGCAGTTATAAGTAAGTATGTCCTGTTACGCCTGTGGTTATTGAGAACTACTGTATAAGAAAAGTTTGGGAGCTGGGAATAGTATCACATGGCTTTAATTGCAGTGCACAAGAGGCAGAGGCAGACAGATGTTTGAGAGTCTGAAGCCAGCCTGGTCTACATAGTAAGTTCCAGGCCAACCAGGGCAACATAGTGAGACCCTGTCTCGAATAAATAAATAAATAAGAAATAAAGAGAGAGAGAGAGAGAGAGAGAGAGAGAGAGAAAGAAAGAGAGAGAGAGAAAGGAGAAAGGTCTAGGGAAGCATAAAGCACTCATCAAGTGCTCAGCCGGGAGTATGGCTCACACAGGTTCAGCAGTTCCACTGTGCATCAGCAGCCTGACAGGCATTGTCCACAACTCCAGCTTTAGGGGGCATGGCACGTGTCTGTGTCTACTCTCCCACACTCGCTGAGCCCAGGTGATAAGGAGATCTGCTTTGCCTTTGTTTTCACTAGGAGTGAGAGTTGGTCTTGTGATGGTGCCCACCCTAGGGAGTCCATGGGGTATAATGTCTTACACATAGGTACTAAATTGACACTTTTTTAGTGTCTTGATGGGCGTGGAGACTCTGGTAAACCAGGGAAGGAAAAGTCTAGGAGAATGCACAACTTTGCCTCCCCAAAGGCCACATGGCTTCAACCTAGGGAAGAGTTAACTTCCAGGCCACTGGAGACAGCGTCCTGCCCGCAGGGGCTGCCCAGCCAATGGCACTCAGTGTCGGTGACGTCATGTTCCTCCTGCGCCTTCTATTGGGGACTGGACAGCGAATCCTGCTGGAGGTTCGGGCAACGGAGCTGCAGAGCCCGTCAGTGGCAGAGGAAGGAGGAGGAGGAGGAGGAGGAGGAGGAGGAGGAGGAGGAGGAGGAGGAAGAGGAGAAGGGCTAAGGATAAGAGAGCAGCAAATCGACCCAGACTGGCTCCTGCCTCTTCCCTCTGCTCTCTGCTCCTTCAACAGAAGGTCCTCCTGGGGACTGCCCAACACTCACATCACAGAACCAAAGCAACACAGCATTGGTCCAGAAAGGGGGAGCAAGGACTCCCTCTCTTACCTAACCTGCCCACTACACAAGGAGAGACTAGGATGAGGGCTAGAACACAGTACCCACATGCCCACATGTACACACACACACACACACACACACACACACACACCAATAGCTTTCTTAGCACTACTTTCCCCTCTCCTGACTCTCCCCTGCCTCTCTCTCACCTGCCAGTAGACTGAAGGTCTGTGTCCGAGCCGCTGCCCACGACTGTCCCGTCCACTCTGCTGGGCTCTCTGGGAGGGAAGAGCAGGCAAGAGAACCTGTAGACAGTGCTCAGCCTCTGCCCACTCCCCTTCCACAGTTCAGCCGCACAGGACTAATGGGTCAGCCCAGCACCACCAGCTCCAAGAGTGGCCCCCCCAGGGTGTCCTTTGATTCCCTTCCCAGACCAGGTCTGCTCATCTGTAACTCTCCCTGGTGGTCCCTCCTACCCACAACCCCAACCCACAACCCCATCAGTTTCTCACGGTTCCACTCGGTTGGTAAATCTACGGCGCCACAGCATGGCCAAGCTGAGCAGGAAGAGGGTGGTGCACATGGCTCGGCTGCCCCATCCCCACCGATGACCAACTCTGCTGAAGAAGGCCACAGGCCGGGGGGCCACAATGGCCAGGCCACCTCTCCCAAGCCACCGCTGTGTTTCCTGAAGTTCCTGGGAAGGGATTAGGGGGTTCAAGCTGATTAGTGGAGTGAGCGGACCTGACCTTGTGAAGAGAGATTAAACTCACCAGGCCCAAGATCTCCCCTTGTGTAGCAGAGTAAGCCAGCCTCCTTCGAGACATGCAAGGTAACCCTGAGGGCCTCTCCGGAATGTTCTACCCAGAACATTTAATCCTATCCGGGCTTCAGCATCAAGGGAGGTAGTGCAGTCAAGTTAAGTGAGGTACTTCCATACATTGTTAAACGTACCCGCAGAGCACTTGGGGAAGTGCGAGCATCAGGGGTAGCTTCAAAGAGGATCTGGGGCCTTGGCCCAGTGACAAAGACCTGCAAGCCACTGGGGAGGGGAGGGGCACCTCAGGTTCAAAGCCTGGCTGAGCTACAGAGAGCTTTGGAGGCCAGCCTGGGAAACCTAATGAGAGTGTCTCAAAGAGGTCTGAGGAGACAGCTCAGTGGCAGAGTACTTGCCTGGGGTTCCAGGGTCCTAAGTTCAGTCTCCCACATGGGAGAGAAAGAGCGAGCTATCTATCTCAGGAGGTGTCTGAACGTGCAGGTACCAGAGAGAGACGGGCCCTCAGCCAGCTCTGCCGGGCTGCTGACATGAAAGCTTGCCAGTCTTCAGGGAACCGAGGCTGCGAGGCAGAGGAGCCACACTGTCGCACTGTCGTAGCTGAGGCAAGAGAGAATGGCAGAGAGGAGAAGGAATGGATGATGGGACCAGGAAGACCAGAGAGGAACGTGCGTGTGCGTGTGCATGTGAGTATATGTGTGCATGTGAGTGTGTGTGAGTGTGTCTGTGAGTGTGTGTATGTGCGTGCACCAGGCCTCCCTCGCGCCCTCTGAGCTCTTCTAATTACACTCCCTTCGAAAAAAGCCAGAGTCGAGGTGTGCACACAGACAGAACTATAAATCCTATCTTATATAACAACCTTATATAATTTAGATACAAATTATAAGCTTATCAATTATGTACTAGACTACTGTACCAATATAATCCTAGGTTATGGAGTCAGGACAATCAGAGGAGAAGTTGGGAATCAATAGAAATATTCTCTGCCCATCTCACCCAGACCTCCTGGGCAGCCGCTTGGGCCTTAGGCAGTAGAGCTGGAGTCAGTACCGCAGGGCTGGGACAAGGGCTGAGTAATGTTGGGACCTAAACCCACACTGCCCCCACCCTCTCCAGTACCTTCAGTTTTCCTTCCCTAAACAAGATGGAGGTAATGCCTCCTGCCCAGGAGTGACATCAGGCACCGCAACCCTGAGCTCCAGGGAGGGCCCTGCTAGGCGTATAAAGGTTCTTGTGGACCCTCTGTGAATGAACCTTCAAGTCTGATTATATTTTCTAGAATTTAAAATGTTTGCTGTTATTTGTGTGTGTGTGTGTGTGTGTGTGTGTGTGTGTGTGTGTGTGTGCTGTCAGAGGACAGCTTGCAGGAATAAATCCCTTCCTTTCATCTTGTGGGTCACAGTGACGGAACTCAGACCATCAAGGTTTATGGGGCAAATACCTTTAAAGACAGTGACTGAAGCTGACGAGGAGAGCCACTTCCTGGGCAACAGGACTCCCCTTGGAGCCTTGGGGAGAGCCAGAGACAGCACACTTATCTGTGTCAGGACCAGGCCTCTGTGGTCTCTGGGTTCCTGCTGTCTACCGCCAGGCCTGAGCCTCTCTGCTGGCAGGATGAGGTTTCTGGGTCTCTCAAGACTGCACTCCTCTCTGTCCCAGTGTCACCTCTCCCTGAGCAGTCTACTGAGATGAAGGATCTGCCTTCCGGTTCTCAACTCGAACTCTTGATGGTGACACATGTCTTCACTGTCCGGTGCGGTACTCAGGACTTCCGGCTCCCCAGAGCCTCATACCTGACTGACTGCCTCTCTGTGGAACTTGACTCCACCAAGGCCAGGGCAGTAACTCAGGACAGTGTCTGGTCCTTGCCTACCTATCATTGATTAGTTGCTAGGACTTCCTGCTCGCAGGCATGGGGAGGCATTGGGGGAAAGGGAAGTGGGGCACAAGCCCTGGCTCCCCATACTGGATATGTGCACAAGTTCAGAGAGCCAGCTGGAACAGCAGATGGGAAGAGAGACTACCCATCGCTCCAAACCTGCCAGAACTTGAGTCTCCACGTCTGACAACGGTCAGATGGCCCAGTCTCAGCTCAGGAGTGGCGGGGTTACAAGGGAAGCCCAGATTTTTCTGCAAGTTCCTCCTCCCCAGCAGGCGATGCCTGGGTGTGTTTGACTTTGAGTCAGATCCCCACCTCGTGAAGGGTACACACACACACACACACACACACACACACACACACACACACACACGTCCAGACACTACATGTCGAGAGCTGACACCCCGCCACCCTCAGCTCCACAACAGCCCGGGGCACACTCCAGTACACCGCGCGCTGCCCAGCGCCGCGTGACCCCCTGATCTTCCCAGCCCCTTCTGCACATTGGCCACACCTACCTCTCCAAGCCGGGACCGCGGTGGCCTTGCTAACTGGTGGGTGGTCAGGCGGACAGACGCCAGCCGTGACACCCCATCCCGCCTAACCTTCACCTTGCCAAAATTGACTCCCCAAAACAGGACTGGGGTTTTGGAGAGGATTCTTTTTTTTTTTTTTTAACATTTCTTTTTTCCCAGCAGACCACATCCCCGCCCCCAGCTCGCAGTCCCCCGCCCCCCGCACATATACCCTGCACACCCGCGCGCGCACACACACCCGGCGCGCACAGACACACACACACACACACACACACACACACACACACACACACGCTCCCTCCCTCCGGCGCTCTACTCCGCTCCCGCCCGCCCGCCCGCCTCGCACGCACCGGCCTTGGCTCCCCGCGCCCGCCGCCGCCGAGCGAAGCTGCGCTGGGCTCGGAGCCGCTCATGGAGAAAGTGCCGGGCGACATGGAGATAGAGCGCAGGGAGAGGAGCGAGGAGCTGTCCGAGGCGGAGAGGAAGGCGGTTCAGGCTACGTGGGCCCGGCTGTATGCCAACTGCGAGGACGTGGGGGTGGCCATCCTGGTGAGGTAGGTGTCGCTCCCGGCTTGGCGGGGCCCAGGACGGGGAGGGTGACAGCGGCTGCGGGCAGAGGCGGGCTCGGCCCTCAGCGAGCTCCGGCGCCACCTCCCTAGTGATTGGGGACGGGTCGCGGTGACAGGGGTGCTTTGGAGCGATGGAAACCTTAGCTGATTCCTTCCTACCTCGGGAAGTGGGGCTCATCACCAGGAACTAGATGCAGGAGAGCGCTTGGTCTCCCTGGCCTCAGAACTCACCCATCCCAGTCGGTCCTCCTCACAAGTGACCCTAGCGATCCAACTAAGATGTATGTTCGAGGACCCAACCAGCCCTCAAAGGGACCCATAAGAGCTCCCCGTTTTAGAGACAGGCAGAGAAACTGAGGTTCAGTCAGGAAGGGAGTTAAAGAAGAAACAGAACGCCCTGTCCAGTTGGGCCCTTCAGAAGAACACAGCAGAGGGCAGGGGGTAAAGGTCAAGAGGCCCAGCTTCCCAGCTGCCCCTCTCTGCCTCAAAAGTGAGACCGGGGTGAGCTGCAGGTGAGACGGGAGTGAAGCTAGCAGGCTCCCGGGATGCAATCCTGGTTGAGTTCTTTTTGTTTGGTTGGGTTTTTTTTGGGGGGGGGTGGGGGGTGGCTTTGGAGGAGGCTTTCAGGGCCCCAATCTGGACCCTCCAATCAGGTAAGAAGTATAGCATCCGGTCCCAGTATCCCTGAGGACATCCCCCCCAACCAAGTGACGCTGTATTTATAACACTGCACCATGTCCCCAAGCCTCAGAAACTAGAGACTGACTCTAGTTACAAATCAAATCTATACGCTTCCTACACGTGCTGGGCCCAGGGGTTCAGGCAGAACCCCCACATACACCCTCAGCCCCCAAGCTATCAAATCTAGGACAGCAGGGCAGCCTTGTGTGGAGATAGGGTGGAACCCGGGCGCAGGACAGCTGTGGTGCAGCTGTTTTCCAGTCCCGACCCCTTCTCTGGTTCCTCTTCTCTGCTCTGCCTCCTGCAAGCCTGGGACCTACCCAGCTCCCTACCGCTATGCCTGGATTCCAACTCAGAAATAGATTTTGGAAGAAGAGAAGTAAAGCACTTTGGAGGAGTTAGGGGAGGACTCCTGGGGAAGTTCAGAGTCCTCTAACCCAGCAACACTACCCTGGGTGACAGGAACCAAGGAGGGCCACTGGGACCCTGAAGCTTCAGACACTCGGAGACCCAGATTGCCAGTGTAGGCACCCTCACACAAGCACACAGTGGAGAACAGAGCCGCGGATACGCCAGTCCGCATCCCAGAGGGCTGCTCTGGTCCGATGTGGTACCCCCTCAGCCCACGGGGCACACGTGGGAGCAAGGCAAGGCCCGAAGGACCAGGAGATACTCTTGCTATTTGCCAGAGAATTGCTTCCCCAGGAATGGGGATGGGGGGAAAGAGAGCCAGGCAGAAGAAAGACAGGATCTGAGATGAGAGTAGGGCTCACTCTGTAACCTGTGAGCCCTTTCTTCTTTGGTTCACCCCCTGACATCCTAGAGACCAAGCCTGGCCGGGAGAGATATTTACTGATAGTCATACTACTCAAAGGCCCACAGTGAACCGAGGAGACCTGCTATGGTGATCGGATCTGGCTTGCCGAGCAGCAGAACACCACACTTCACCTAACTCCACGGAGTCAAAACTGACAAACCTGGGCCAACACGTACCGGCCACTCCCTGTGGCTCCAGGTGCCACGTACTCCTCTGCCGCTGTCTGCCCCAGGCCTGACCAATGAAAAGGGGAAAGGCTAAGACCTCTTAGCTTCTCACAGCTTCACACGGGACCCATCCATATATTCTGATCACAAAGCCATGCGGACAAGCCCGACGACATGCTCATCCGTGGGACCAGGCCCTCTGGTCACCACTTTCTTTTTCCTTTCTGTCCCCACCTCCCACTCTGACTGCAAGGTAGGGGCAAGGAGGAAGCTGGCTATGAGCAGCAGTTCCTGGCAGAGATGGTGTCGTGGAGGAGGAGCTAGCTGGGCTAGTAGCTGCCTTAGGGTCTGAGGCAGACCCCATGTTTCCACTCATGTCAGAGAGAAGCCTGAGGAGGGAGCACCACCCTCCTGCCTGGTTGTAATGCTGACACGTTCCCCCTCACACGCAGATGGGCCTATTTCAGGCTCTTGGAAGCCCAGATGCCTCTGAGAGCTGAGAAACTCCCCAAGACTGGCTGCTAAGGCTTCTCCCTAGCAGCTCAAGCCTGCCAGGGACGGGTGGGAGGAAACACCGGTTCGGGAGAAGCCAGGATGATAGACAGAACTCAAGGCTCTTGGGAAGTTCCTCTCTCTCTCTCTCAGGGCCACACATGGTGCTGCTGTGTTGAGACAAGAGACTCACCTGTACTCAGGACTGGTTCCTGCCTGTTGGGCAGCCTTGGGGACCAACCAGCCAGTTCCTGATCCACAAGATGGGGAGCAAAGCAATGCTCGGATAGTAAATGAAATGCTCAATGACTGTCCCCTGGGTTACCCTCAGGGGAAAGGATACAATAGCTTCTAGGCTGTGGCGACTGAGTAGTGTAAGAGATGTCTTGCAAATGGCAACATACCAGGCAAAATAAAATTCATTACTTGTATTGCAATTGGGAAAGCCCTAAAGCCTCAGATGCTCATTGTTTTATGTAGGGGTAGGGGAATGTTACTCAGTCATGGCATTCATGTGGAGGTCAGAGGTCAACAGGCCGGAGTCAGTTCTCTCCTCCCATCTTGTTGAGGAAGAGTCTTTCTTGTTTCCTGGGGATGCTTTCTCGTTGTTAAAGAGTGCTGGGGTTACCCATGTGCCATAGCACCCTGCCTTTTGGGTTTTATACATTCCGGGGATCAACTTAGCTGAGTGACTTCACGCATTGGTTTGTCTCCCTGACCCCTGAAGCATCTTTCTTCATTCATCCCTCATTACGAAGCTTCTAGAGAAGTCCTGTGTGTTTTCAGACCGGCTGCCACCTTGGTCCACATCCACAAACCTCTGAAGAAGCCAGCGGCAAAGCTTCTCTCAAACTTTCACAGACAGGAGGAAGGGGTCATAAAGTGTCCAAGGTCACACTCAGCATCCCAGTGGGTCCCTGTCCCTCTCCACATGGACGACGCACACACCCCACACCCCCCGCATTGTCAGAACCTTCCTGACAAAATCAGCTGTGGCCACAGGAAGGGCTGGTCAGTCTGATGTTCTGTGTCTCCCTCACATCAGACTCTCCAAGCCTGAGCCACAAGCTGTGAGCTCCTCTAGGGGGATGGTGACACCCAATGACACAGGTCAGAACACTTTATATGCTTTCTGACTCTCACTGAGGCCCAGCTAGGGATGGCCCTAGGCCGGGGTGATGGGTGGGTCATTGCATTTGTGAGACTCTCCCTCTGCTTATGGTTTGGGGTCTGGTCCAACAGACTGAGAAGGTAGCAGAGAAAACTACCCAGTGGCACTAATGGCCATGGAGGGACAGCCACCTGGGTAGCCAGAAAAGAGCAGGTCTGACATGGGGCCCTGTGTCAGGCATTCCACTGCATCATGGGAAGAAGGCTGGCCAATGCTAAGTGCAGCCGTTGGGCTGGGACAGAGAGGACTCTGGGCAAAGGCACGGTAGACATGGCGCTGGGGAAGTGGGCAGGGACCATGCATAAAAAGTCTGGAGCATCTAACTCTCGGGTGTAAAGCTAGGGGACCGAGGAGAGTTTCTGAGATGGGGAATGATGTAATGAAGGGAGGGTGGGGACATTAAACAAACCTAGATAAACCAGCGAAGGGAAGGGCCACTGTTAGGAAAACCCAAATTCCCCTTCAAGGGGTTTTTTTTCTCGGGCGTGGGGAGGGTGGCGCCTGACTTTAGTCCCATCATTTGAGAGGCAGAGGCAGGAGATAACGTGAGTTTAAGACCTCACGGGTAAGTAATTATAAACCACTCCACAAAGGAAAACTCGGCTGTTTAAATTAGATCAACCAGTCAATATTTATTGAGGGGCATCAAGGAGGGTTCCCTCGAGGCTGGTTGGGGCGAGAAGGCTTTCTCTTGGTCTCTTCAGAGGGAGGCTGAGTGAGCACAGGCAGGTTACTCCGGCCTCACCCTCACTCTGGTCACAGGAGGGGCTCACACTGTCTTCTTAAGACTGAGCCTCAAGGGTCGCAGACACCCTGCTGATGGTGTACTTCCTCTTTATATCCCCAGCCCCCAGGGGATAGGAATGCCCATTTCATGGATAAGGAACCCCAGGGACATAAATAATGGGTGTTTGCCTAGGAGCCACCAGGCCCCGGTCAAAGCCCAGCACTGAGGGAAAGCTAAGCAAAAAGCTGGGTATGGGAGAGAGGGAGCATGGTAGCCCATGCCTGTAACCCCAGCATTCAGGAGGTAGGGGGAGTAGGGATGTTGCAAGTTTCCGAGCTAGCCTGGTCTACACAGAGATCCAGGTTAGCCCATGGGTACTTGGCAAGATCTCGTCTCAGAAAAGAAGAGGAAGAAGAGAAAGAAGGTCCTGTGGAACATACTTGGGAGGCAGAGGCAGGGTTACTGGAGCCCAGGAGTTCAGGGCCAACCTGGGCAACATAATTAAATTGTCTTTAATTAAAAATTAAATTGTCCCATGATTCTAGAATCTCTCTCTCTCAGTGACAAGAGTAGGCCTCAATGGGGTGTGGGCTCAGAAAGCACACAGAGGCGAGGCAGACGGTGCCCTGGCAGCCAGAACAGGTTCAGTAGGTGGTCCCAGCAGCACCAGGCCTCTTCCACAGGGAGAGCCTGTGACTGAGGACAGCTCCATGTGAGAATAAAAACCTTTACTGGTGTGGAAACATAACTACTTCTCCCCCACCTCCATGTTGGCCACTCCAGAGGGACTTGGAGGCAGCCCCCTGCTTCAGCGCCTACCCCCTTCCTCCCACCAGGTTCTTTGTGAACTTCCCATCGGCCAAGCAGTACTTCAGCCAGTTTAGACACATGGAGGATCCCTTGGAGATGGAGAGAAGTCCCCAGCTGCGGAAGCACGCCTGCCGGGTCATGGGGGCCCTCAACACTGTCGTGGAGAACCTGCATGACCCAGACAAGGTGTCGTCTGTGCTCGCCCTGGTTGGCAAGGCCCACGCCCTCAAGCACAAGGTGGAACCTATGTACTTTAAGGTATGTCCATCCTTCTTTTCGCTCTTGTCCAGAGCCCACAGGCCACTGTGTCATAGCTCCCTACAAGCCATGGCTCTGGAAGGGCTCCCAGAATAGCAAAGATGATCACCCTGCTGCTAGCCTGTTCCCCCCGGAGAGGCTGTGACCAGGAGGGCAGCAGAGCAGGAGAGAGAGGTGGGATCAGTCCAGTGCAGTCCTTGTCCTGAGACCGTGGTCTCCAGTGACCACCAGACTGTTAGTTCGTGTCACACAAGCCAGGGATCCCGGGATGGTGGGAAGCAGGGTGCCCAGATGCTTATTCTACCTTCCCTCCTTTGTCCCCAGATTCTCTCTGGGGTCATCCTGGAGGTGATCGCCGAGGAGTTTGCTGATGATTTCCCTGTGGAGACGCAGAAAGCCTGGGCCAAGCTGCGTGGCCTCATCTATGGCCATGTGACCGCGGCCTACAAGGAAGTGGGCTGGGTACAGCAGGTTCCCAACACCACCACGTGAGGATGGGGTGAGGGTGGCTGGGCAGCCTCCCTGCTGTGTCCTCTCTTGTCCCCTGGGTTTCCCATCTCTCCAGGGACCTGGGACTGACTGCTGCAGCGGGAAGCCTTCAGGCCCAAGGCAGAGGGCCTGTGAGACAGAGCCCTCTCACTGCAGGCCAGCTCCTGTCCAGCCCCGACTCTTGGCTACACAGAGCTGTGAACTCCAAGTAGATTTATCTGGGCAGTGCTTTTCCTTGTCTGGAGAAGGGAGGGCTCAGATCAGCCAAGGTTATGATGTCCTCCCCGCAGGGTGACCACTTCTCAGGCTCAGAGCACGGTGGGCCAACTCCACCCTTCCTTTCTGGTACCAGTCCTTTGGGCCTGTTCCCCATTCACAGTGAACAGTCAGTACTTCCATCCACCGTCTGCCTCAACAGAGCTGGAGCCAGGAAGGTCACGAGGACACATACACATGCCCAGGCCCACAAGGGACCTACATGGGTGTCATTCACATGGACAGAACTAGGGGATATTTACTTCCAGTCTGACCAGAAAACAGCTCCTACTTCTAGGCTCCAACAGGGTGGCCGGACTCAGTGACTCCTGCTGGCTGGGAAGTGCCAGGCCAGCGAGGGCTGGCCTTCGGATGTGGCTAGCGGCTGGGAACACTCAGACCCCCCTAGACCTCCAAGAGGGAGCTGACTCTGGGAGCTGAATGGAAGGGCAGAGGCAGGGCTGAAGGAGGAAGGAGGAGAGCGGAGGCGGGAACAGGAACCAGGGGTCAGCCAGCGGCTTGGGACACGTGTTGTAGAGAAATATTCCTAGCAGTTTCCCATGGAAAAGACTCTTCCAAGGCCCCATGCCACCTCCTGTTTACCGGCCTTCCCACCCAGCTCTGCAGAGGAGGTCCTCAAGGGCAGGGAGAGGCCAGGTCTGCTGCCCTTCCTGCCACTGACCAACCAGTCCACCTATGCCTACCCTACCATCAGCAGCTCCCCAGGAGAGCAAATAGAGTTCTCAGGAATTGTTCCTTGCTGTCAGGTCACTCAGGAATTGTTTCTTGCCAGTCAGGTCAACTCCAGATGGTGTACAGCTGGACCTAGCTTGCCCTAGACCCTGGATTTTTACCTGCCAGAGGAGGGTAGTTTTTCAGAGGAGGCTGAAAAACTGAGGATACCTCGAGTGGTCACCCCCACTGAGAGGGACCAGGGAGGAGACTGAACGGGAGATGTCAGAGGGGCTCACCCTTCCCCCTGCTCTCCTCCCCAGGCAGCTCTGCAGCTTGAGATGAGTTTGTTTACAGCCACAGACACAAGACTTCCTGCTTTTGGAGAAAAGAGCTTTTTACAGGGCCTAGAGGGACTTTGGGGGAAGAGCTGGCCAGCCAGCCCCAGTGAATCAGAAACACATGGCCGGAGCCCTCCCGCTCCTGCCCCAGCTGGACCCCAGGGACTTAGTTCTAGCCAAACCCCAAACATCTGCCCCCTTTTGGTTCTAGTGAGCTGAATGGGGAGTAGGTGATGAGGTGCCAGACACCCCAGGGCCTTGCCACCTCTCCTCAGGTCTGAGCGTCTCAGCACTGAGTTTCCCCAGCTATCACTGGGATTATGCCCCCTCCCTTGACAGCCTTTATCCTGTTCTGAGGGCTTGAGCAGGGGCCAGGGCCTGTGAGACCCAACCTACTACCAGGCTCTCCTTGCCTCACAGGGTGGGGTGGAGTCTCAGGGCTGGCTTCTAGAAGGGTCCAACTTCTCTTATCAGGGAAACATCGTGAGCCAGACACCACTGTTTATTGAACTGTCTCTGCTTCGGGGGTATGTGACTCTGTGTGGGTGGAGGGGTGCCGGGGCAGGGGCATGTGGTGGCCGCCAAGCTAAAAGATGGGGACAGTGCTACACAGAAGCCAGGGAGCACTCACTCCGCTAGGTCAAGCAGCACATACGGTTTCCAGATGAGTGGAAAACAAGTTCAGGCTGCCCCTGTGGTGTCTTAGTGTGTGTGAAATGCTTCCGTTCCCAGTGGGCAAGCATATCCGAAGCCGGCCACGTTTTTTGAGGGACAGATCTGGGCCCTTTGGGGGCCACCCAACTAGCTTGAGGTAGCACAGTGAGGCTAGAGGTAATGGGGGGGTTGTGCAGCAGCGTTCCTAGGTGTCCCATTCACCTTCCCCCCACTGACCCCTGTAACCTGTTACCTTCATCTCCTGTCTCATCCACAGCTCACCAGCCACGCTGCCCTCTTCAGGGCCATAGGACCCCTCCCAGCTCCCCGTCCCTGGCAACACTTTGGGCTGACTTCTGAAGACACTCCTTGACCTTCCATTTCTGGGTGCCAAGGAAGCTGGAGGAATCCCTGACTCGACTTCCCGAATGGAGGCCTTCGTCATGGCTGTGGTCCCCCCCGGGCTACTGGGAGGTGGGGCTGGCTCCCCGAATGCTGAATCTAGCAGAGGGGACCCTTCTGCCTCGCAGCAGAGGGCACACTCTTCTTAGCTTTTCTACCGACTGTTAGAGGGGGACCTGGCAAGCGGCCGGTGGGAAGTGAGGACAAGCCCATGAGTCACTTCAGAAAGGAACTAGCCCTGCTTCACTCTGCCCGCCAGCATGCAGGTCCTCGCCACCATCTCTAGAGCATTACGCACACGTCCAGCATATACACAGATATATCCTATATACGATCTCTATATAAATATATATATATATATACACACACATACATATCTATCGCGTGCACCTGCAGGCCCAGAAGCCTAGGTCTTGCCCAGCTGCGGGGAGCCAGGAAGAGTCCTGGTCATACTTCCAGGCGGCTCTACTGGGAACAGGGAGAAAGCTTACAACAGCACAAGAGAATGCGGCCAGGTGGGAGAGTTGGGGTGACCCAGCTTGTCCCTACAGCTCAGTGTCCTGCATTCTTGCCCCACTCCACCCTCAAAACAAGAGAATACCTGGTTTGCCGGGTGTAGTGGCACATACCTCTCATCCCAGAGCTTGGGAGGCAGAGGAAGGACGATCTTTGCAAGTCTGAGGTCAGGTGGTCTACACCTGGTCTCCATGGTGGTGAGTTTCAGGCTAGCTGGGGCTACACAGGGAGACCCTGTGTCAAACAAAACAAAACATGAAGATCTAGCTCCCCTCCCCTCCCCAAGGGTTTGCCTGACTCGCCCTGGAGAAGGCAAGAGTTCAGGAGATCCCATTGGGGTGTTGGCCAGTGTATGTGTCCTGTGTATGAGGGTAGGGGTGAGGGGCAGCCTCAGTGTGGAGCCCTAGAATGCCAGCCTCACCTACTCACTTCAGACAGCAGCCGGGCCACAGGACCAGGAGACTCTCCTGCTCTCCTCTGGGGGCACCTGCTCATCTTCTCCATAAAGTCTCCTTAACACTTCTGGGGACCCCGTGTGTCACGTGTACTGTCCTGGAGGATGTCTTACTGCTGTGGCTACCGTGCCTGCGTCCCCTCTGGTCACCCTCAAGCAGCCTTCCTGTAACTGCCTGTCTTTTTGTAGTTTCTGATGTTTGTAACCAGCCCCAGCTGTGTCATTAAACAGGTCTGTTCTTCCTGTATCTGGCCTCTGCTTGATCTTTTCCTCTGCGGCCTGCCTTCACCTCTCTTTCCCCTCAGCAGTTCTAGCTAAGGGCAGTTTCATTGAAAACAGTTCCGTCCAGGGAACCCCTTCCCTTGTGCTGACCCTAGCTGCTCCTGGGGTTAGGCACTCTCTGGGTTGGACTGTCGATTGCTCAGAGGCTAAGAAAAAAAAAAAAGCTAGATTTTGTAGGAGCAAGAGAAGGGTCTGTCTTATTAAAACTTCAGAGAAGCTAGGCCTGTGGCTTAGAGCTTTCTCAGGAGGTTGAGGCATGGGGGTGGGGCTGGGGGAGGTCATAAGTTTAAAGCTAGTCTGGGCAACTTAATAAGTCCTTGTCTCAAAATAAAAAAATAGAGAAGGCTGAGGATCCGGCTCAGTGCAAGAACATCGGCCTGGTAATACCCAGGCCCTAGGTTTAATCTCCAGAACTTTTTTTTTGGGAGAAAAAGTCAGTGCCTTTTGGATTTTGTCCAGGAAATCTGGCAAGGACAGGCTCAGTGTGGAACGAAGGGGGTTGTCAGAGCTGGGCCTGGTAGTGCACGCCCGTCATCCCAGCACTCACCAGACCAGGGTCGGAGGATTACAAATCAGAGGACAGCCTGGGCTACACGATGAGTCCCTGCCTCAAAAAGGGTGGGGTAGGGTGGGGTGGGAGTACTGTCCAGATGTCCATACAGAAGGGCCTTGGTTGTGTACTAGTCACACAGCCAAAAATTAAACCTTATCCTTCTGCGAGGCCTGCACATGAACATTTCACTTGAGATGTTGAATAGGTCCCGATGCTTCCGGGGTTAACCCTTGGATATGGTGGACAGGGAGCCTGCTGGAATTAACCTTCAACCCTAAACTCTCAGCCCAGAACCTCTTCCCAAGCCCTGCTGTCCATCCCCCCATGGCAATGGTCACGACAGCAGCATCAAGTCTCTGAGGGGGGATCAAAGAGGTCACCATAGGGAGGGGTACAGGAGAACCGGAAACCGCTTCTGCCCCTTGGGAGGGCTTCAGGCTGTCTGAGAGGACTCAGCTGACACGGAAAAAGTCCTGTCTCCCAGCTCGTGCGCTTGAATGTAGGCCGGGGCGCCTTTCTTCATCTTCTGGGCCTGGCACAGCAGAGTACTCACTGGAAATCCAAAGAATAAATAAATAGCTGTCTTAGAAAGCAAGACAAACACACGGGCCAAGAGTGAGCCGTGAATTGAAGGAGGATGCAGGGTGCGGAGAGGACAGCGGAGGCTAGGCCTTTCCAGAGATGGAGCGTGCCAGACTGGTGGCCTCTGAGCTCACACTCAGTCGGCGGCGCTGCTGTGTGACTCTGGGCAAGACAGCAAATCTTCCAGCGCTTCATTTTGAAAATAGGAAGCCTGGTGTAGTGGTGCTCCCAGCTCTGGAGAGGCCAAGGAAGGACTACACAGCAAGACACAAAGCTAATCCCTATAAGCAAAAAATCTATCTTGCAAGGCAGTGGGAGGAGCATGGGGGCGGGGCGCAAGAAAGGTGTTCAGAACCGGGCTGGTCGGCGCTGAGAACCAGGAGAAGGGAGGACAAACTGAGCTGCTGAGCAGGAATCCTCTGAGAGGCATTGGGATGAGCCGGAGAAGGGTAGGGGGTGTACCATGGCAACAAGAAAAGGCAGGGAGCCTCTGAACCTCCTGATCCCTGAGGTCCAGCCAGAGCTGGTTGGTGGAGTGTCAGCAGGTCAAGATAGAGCGTCATCTCTAAGAAGGCCTTCCCACAGAAATCTTGAGAGAATGGCGTGGGTGGAAAACTGGAACTATCCTGGAACCTGCCATTGAGAAGAACTCTCCTTGATCCCTACCTTCTAGAGAGGATATGAGCCATCCCTCTCCCCTTTCTCCCAGCCACCCCCCACCCCCCCAACCGCGGATGCTGCAGGACCTGGGGCGGATGCAGGCGACTCCCGGTTTTAGGCCATGGCAGGGAAGATGCCTGGGCTTTTGTTCTGTGTTCCACAAGTAGTCAGCCTTCTTAGTGAGAGGCAGAGCAACTGGGTCAGCTCCCCCTGGTGAGATCAAGCTGAGAGCCAAGGGGTGCGGGCAAGGAGCGGGAGCTTTACAAGGAGACTGCCACCTCTTCCCTGACAAAGAGGCCCCCAGCACAGCCTCACAGTGACCCCTGCAGGCTCCAGCCGGAACTTCATCCAAGAAAGCCTCCATTCTCTAGCGGGCCAGCTTCCTGGCTCCACTTCACTCCATAAGGGAGGCAGCCTTACTGAAACCTGAGCCGAAAACAAACGTTGACTTGCCTAACTACCGGAAATATCTTCCCGCGCTTACCAAGTGGAGAAAGTTAATCAATGAAGGTATTGGCACCAGATAACACGTGTCTACAACACTTGGGAAACTGAAGCAGGAGGATCCTGCGTTCAAAGCCAACCTTGGTTCTTTAGTGAGTTCCACGTCAGTCAGAGTTGTATAGGCTGACCCTTCTCTAAATACACACACACACACACACACACACACGCACACACACACACCACACACACGGAAGCCTGGGAGATGGTGTAGACTCCCAGGGCTTGCCTGGAGCACAGGAATCTCAACACAATACAGTAAAACGTAGGGGCTGTGGTGATACTTAGAATCTCAGTCGGATCCCTGGGGCTTTCTGGCCAGTCTAGCTTAATTGGTGAGCTCCAGGTCCCTGGAGGAAGACAGAAGTGGGTGACTCCAGAGAGACTGTACCTGAGGTTGCCCTCTGTCCTATACACAACAAAAGAAACAAGAGAAGCGGGGGGGGGGGCGGGGGGGGGGGAGGGCAGGGGAGTGGCGGGGGCAGGGTGGACCACATAGAAGCTCTCGGAATAATCCCAGCACTCAGGAGGCTGAGGAAAGGGGACCACTTTAAATGCAAAAGCAACCTAGGCAACAATGAGACCTTGTCTCAAAAATCAGACTGGAAGCTTTGTTGCTTGCTTTTGTCAAGTTGACTTGAGCTACGGTCATCTGGGAAGAGTCTGTGGGCAAGCCTGGATGGCATTTTCATGATTAGGGATTAATGTGGGAAAGCCCAGTCTACTGTGAGCAGTGTCACCTGCCTTTAACCCCATCTCTTGGCAGGCAGAAGCAGGTGGATCTCTGAGTTCAAGGCTAGCCTGGACGATAAAGTGAGTTCTAGGACAGCCAGGGCTACACAATAAAGTCCTATATCAAACCAAAACAAACCAAAAAATGAGAAGAAAGCAGGCTGAGCAAGCAGCAAGTAGCAAACCAGCAAGCAGTACCATCCGTGGTCTCTGCATCAGCTCCAGCCTCCGGGTTCCTGCCCTGACTTCCCTTTACAATGGACTGAAATAAACCCTTTCCTCCCCAGGTTGATTTGGTCATGGTGTTTATCAGAGCAATAGAAAGTCAACTACGACAGGCAGCCTCACCTATGGGCTGGCCAACATAACCCCATGTTGCTCTCTGTTGGAGCATTGTCTGTAAGTAAGTGGGGATCTGCTGAGCCCCAGGCCTGCCTCAGAGAAACACAGGCCCAGGGCAGGGAGAGTGGGGGTTCCGCTGTGACCTTGACCAAGGTCCTCAGTTTGATGCAACCAGGACAAAGAGCAGTTTAGGAAGACAACAACAACAAGCTTCAGCCCCACCTGCCTGGCTTCAGCTTCCCGCCCTTCCAGCAGCCTGGGAAGGAGGCTTCAGGAGGCCCAAGAACTCAGCCGGTAACACCTATGGCTGCCACCTGCAGACCTTGCCAAGAACTGAGAGTGGTGTCCAGCAACCTGGCCCATATGCTGGCCTCTCTGCCAGGGCCTCCGCAGAGCTGTCCAGCAGAGCCCATGTTAATCTGTTTTCGAGGAAAGGCCAGTCTGACACCTCGCTCCTCCTCCGTACCCCAATCTCAGCACATCCACTCTGCCCATGTTTAGATCCCATTAAAACACGTTTTTAGAAAGAGCGGAAGGGATAAAAAAAAAGAAAGAAAGGCCTGCATAAGCACTTGCTTTCCTTGTGAAAACACAAGAGCTGTGCAAAGTCATTAAGACCAATAACCAACGTGGCTAGCTCCTGTTGTCCATGATACATGCAAGGCCCGAGGAGGCCAAAAGAGGGCGCCAGATTCCCTGGAACTGGAGTGCAGACAGCGGTGAGTGTCAGAAACCAAACTGCTTTGCAAGAACAGCAAGTGTCAACCACTGAATCATTTCTCCAGTTCCAAGACCAGGGGCTTTTGTAGCTTGGAATACAGTCCCATGGTCTCCACAGCCACAGAGACCCTTACCTGACCAATCCTGCTGGAGTCGCCATCCTTCACAGTTTGACTCCCTCCAGCCTCAGCTCTCTCCCCACCACAGGGCAACAATCCCTGACCCATCCTCTCACCAATGGAAATGGTGCTGTTTCTCTCAGGCTGCTTTGGCCTCCTTTCCAGAACCTTCCTTGACAGCCTTTCTATGAAAGTACCTTCTTTGAGTGTTTCAAGAACAAGCCCAGCTGAATATTGTGGTGGCCACACCTCGGGAGATTTAAGGGAATAAGCTCACCCTTCAAGACCCTTGGTCCAAATATACCACTTTTGACACTTGGTGCTTGCTGCTGGAAGGTCATGTGACCAGATTCCCAAATACATGGCAGAGAAGGCCAATGTTTAGAAAGAGGGTAGCAATGGAGACAGTAAGAGACAGAGACGGCACATCCAAGAGTGATTTTCCTTTTCTTTTCTTTCTTTCTTTCTTTTTTTTTTTTGAGACAGGTTCTCACTGTGTGGTCCAGGCTGACCTTGAACTTACAGCCCTTCTCCCTCAACCTCTGAAGTGATAAGCTCACACAGACCCACCATGACACCCAGTTTTGAGATTGAATTTTGAAGCTGATTTAAATGTTTCCTGATGGGGGTGGGGGTGGGGGCCAGGTGACAGGAGAGCAGCGGTGACTCCGGGCTTATCATTTCCAAGGGAAATAGTCAAATAGCCGCCAAGAACAGAGTTCCGTGCAGTTGGATACTTCAACCCAATGCAAGCAT